TTGAGAAAATTTAGCATAGCTGAGCTGCCTTGTTTGCATTGTGAGGGGGGTGGCAGCGGCGGCAAATGAAAAAGTTTCCAAATGCAAAGTTAGTTTATGGAGAAAACAAAAAAGGATTTAATTGGAGAGCGATTTGTTGGGCGGTTAAGAACAAGACAAGTTGCTCTTATCATTTTGCTTAATTTACGAACCATTTTGGGAGAGAAAAAAAGGGAATGCTAGAAGCCAACCCAAGGACCCAAAGGATTCATGAGAGATGTAAAACACAACTTAAATTAACCATGAAAATGCCTTAGAAGAGCCTGCCAAAACTTTAGCAGTGCTTAATTGAATTTTCTAGTGTAACTAAATGAATAAATACGCTTTAAATATCATTTAAATAAATATCTGCTAGGCCAGTATGTATTTAATTGATTCAGCGGCTTACTTATATATTATCCATATTCCATAACTTGAAAATTATTTTCCCCTGCCTGCAAACAAATTAATTTAATTAAGTTAGTAAATTCCACAAATTGAATAGGCTTATCTTAAGCGGAAATATCTCTAAATCACACGACAAGTTTTGGCTTTTATTTGTCCAAAAAGTTTTCGATTTTTAGAAAAGTTTTAGGCCGCTTATCTGGGCTATTAAGCTAAAATGCCATTTGTTGTGGCTTTCTTTTGTGTGGATTATAAGAAGACCCTCCACCGTTCTTTTTCTGTTAATTTCTTTGATATCTTTGCACAAGAGGCAAGCCTCTGTTAAATCCCCAACAAATGAATATTAAATAACCTGATAAAGTTGTGTTCCAAATTATTGCCTGCAGCAAGACCTCGGAAAATTCTCTCTGTCTCTCAACCCAAAGGCTACATCTGCAATTAGAAAAACAACTTTTTTATGCTGTTCAACATTCGTTACAAGCGTTGAAAGTCTGAAAGTCTGAAAGTCGGTCGCAACAAATCCAATTTTCGGCAGCACCAAAAGAAAAAAAAAGTTAAATTATCAAAAGAAGAAAATAAATTGTAGCTTGGGCCAAAAGTTGGTTGTCTGCGGAAAAAGGGGAGGTGAGGCCATCCGCACCAAGGACAATGTCAGGATGTGGTATAGACCAAAAGCCCATTTTCCCCCTGCAGCTATGTGTCACAATTTTCCCGGAACGGATACTCCATCGTTATTAGCAGCCAAAAACAGGAAAAGTTTCTCTCTTTCTCAATCTCTTGGAGCTATGCTTTTAATAAACTTTTACTTGGCATTTGCCATTTGGCATTTATGCAAATTGCAAATACATACACACATACACACACACTTACCGAAATATTGAGTGGAAGGGCGGCCAATAACAACAAATTTCAATTATGCCATCAAATCTATTTAGGTGTATAAATATTTGGGCATTTTCCGGTTTCCCCTCGCTTCGCTTGTTCCCGCCGGAATTGTGGCGTGTAATTTACAGATTTTCTTGTTAAGATTGTGGCCAAAGTTTTCTCCAGCCCCCTGCTTTTCCCTCCACGCCATTGTTCGTAGTTTTTTGGCCCTCTCGAGAAGGCCATAATTGGCCCAGTCAATATATATATATATATACATTTGCTTGCACATAAATTTCCCAGAATATTTTACAACTCATTGCTGGTGTTTGCATTTGTGACTGCGTTAAATTTTGGCTTGATTTGATTTCATTTCAATTAGAGTCGAGGCGAAAATAAGCTCTTTAGAGACCCCAGAGACTTTTTCGAGTTCATTAATAAAAATGGAAGAAGGTCTTGGGTGCCGAGCAAATTAATCAATTATGTGAATGTGAGAGTGTGCCGCTTGGCAATTTGGTTAATTAGGAAAAATGTTAACAATAAATGACAAGGGCAATGGGTTTTTATATTAAATAAATTGGGAAAATGGTTTATTTAGAGGGTAAAGGTTTTTTAGTTTTGTTATTTATATATTTAGTAACCTAGTAGGTACCTTCTCAAATAGTGAACTCCCATAAGACCTCTCTACAGTAATCCATTATCAAAATACAAACCAACTTGATTAACTAAATATTTTGTTAAATATCTCTAAATATCTTCAGTTAGCCATAAGTATCATATCTCTGTCGAAACACTCCAAATCGCTTTTGCCACTCAAAGAAATCAATCATAGCCACACTTGGCCATTCATTTCTACATTCCAATGACTGCCCTCCTATTTGCCAGGATATGTTCTTTGGTCGTCCTGAAGTGCCTCGGTCATTTACTTTATTGATTACAACTTTCTCTTGTTTCCCATAACAAATACAGCAGAAAAAATAAGAAAAGCGAAGCGAAAACAACAGCAATTTGAGTTAAGCGTGGTGGCAGCATCCAAGGATATATAGCAACATAATTGGCAGGATATTTTCACCAGATGAGGCCAGGGGAGAGGTTGTCCTCATACAAAAAAGTTGCCACAAAAGTAGCCTTGATTAAAGCCGCTTTATTCCGGCTGAGGAATAAAGGCCATGTATCGACCTGGTCTGCCTTTTGTTATGTTTTGGCTTCTTATTTTCCGTAATGACGGGGAATGCATAAATAAATTTTCAATTCACTTGCATGTCTGGGCAATCACTACAAATAAATAAAGCGTAAACCGAGAGATCAGAGCACCGAGAGCAGCATAAAAATGTCATAATTTATGAAGTTTATCATTTGGTTTGCTGGCTTGTGTTTTTATACATTTATTTATTTGTCGGCGGGGCAGGCACCCAAAACGCATTTGTGTCAATTTAAATTTATGTAAACATAAAATGGCCAACCAAAAAAATAAGAAGAAAAAAAGAAGGAAAAGGAAGTTGTCCTGTGTGAGAGATGTGGTCCTTTTACTTGGATATCACATTTTTCATTCGTGTTTGGTACTCTTTTATTTGGGTAATTGAGTTTTATTTGTCGGTGAAAATTTTTAAAGAAATTTTTTGCTTAGCAAATTAACTATGAGCTAGAATAAGAGTTAATAGATTTGGTTATGTGACCTTTAACTTATAAAGTAATAGAGGAAAAATTTAAGAACCAATAACTAGTATCTTGTAACTAGTAAATAAGATAATTAAATAATAAAATCTTGAACAAAAGTATCCTTATTATAACATTTATACCTTAAGTACTATGAATAATATATCACTTATAAAACAAACCCTTGAGAAGGGCATTCAAAAATCCTTAACCGAGAAACCAAAAACAAAAACTGCCGCCTTCATGGTTATCCTGTAGGGATGCGGCGTCGGCTCCTTATTTTATTTTTTCCTCCTTATGATTTAATGCGCGCGGCATGCCGTGACGTTCACTTAGGCATGGACAACACAATAAAACTCCACAACAGCCAGAGGAATATCAATATGAGCAGGGACACGCGACGCGACGGGAGGACGAAGGGCAGCAGGCCAGCAGGATACGCTTTTCTGGGCCGCCTGCGCACTTTTGACATTTCATTATCCTGTTAAGTATTCAAAAGTCAAGCAAGCCCAGGACAAACCGGACAAGGACATGAAGAGGGACACAAACGCAGGACAAGAACAGAAACGGGAACCAGAAATGGGAACCAGGATGGGGAAAGGGAATGGAGGCAAGGGGAAGGACATGTCTGGGCCATGGCCAGGACATTGCCCCTCATTCCCGCTGGCTGGAACAGGTCCTGCTGCGTTACCAGCTTATCATTTATGCCAAACGCGTACTTTTTGGCTTTTAGTCGCAGCTTCTTGGCTCCTTCTGCCAACGTTGGAGCTGCCTTCTGCCATTTGTTTTGTCTGCCCGTAATGCCATGCGGAATTGCCTTTGTGTCCTTGCCGTTTATGACATTGTATTCGAATCTCATCTCTCTGTGTGTGTGTGTGTGTGGGTGGTGTATAAATTACATTACATAACAAGCAATATAACAAACGATAACAAACACCTTGCTGCAGCCACAAACACATACAGGGAGCAAACAGGGAAATGACAATGAGCAAATATGAAAGCTAAGGTGCCACAGGAACAGGAGCAGGAAGATTATGAGAATAAAAAAGGAAGACAATTTAATAAAAATGTTTCAACGACTTCGATTTGTTGGAATCAGCTTTATGGTCTGTCATTTGTTTATGACAAATGTTAATGATGGCTCCGATATCATCCTTGTTTGCGTGGTTAATATTAGGGAAAGATATGATATTATGGATTTCATTCCATTAGAAATCAATTGGAAAAGTTGTTTAAATTTTGAAAATATTTAAAATCTCGACTTCAGTTATGAAAGAAGAACTTTTATAGATAGTTGAAACTTCCACAACTTATGCTTCGTAATTAAAGTATATTTTTTATAAAAAATAAAATGAAAATAAAATTGTACTGTCTTTAATATTGATTCAAAAAAATTTGTTTGTTTTTAAGCCACATTTTGCAAACCTCTTATAAGCGTATTTAATATTTTAAATACTTAGTTAAATTATTTAATATTGGTTCTTCACAATCTTTGTTCGCATAAACATTTTGCCTTACTTTTCTTTGCATTTAAACCACAATTTTTCAACTTTTAATACGTTTATTTAAACTATTTTTCCATCCACTATTGGTCTCTTAGCTTAAGCATTTCACTTGGCCACAAAAAGCCAATTAAAAATCCTTGAAGAAACTTAATTTCAATATATCACATTCTTTACTTTCCATTGAAGAGCTTTAAATTATTTTTATAAATATTAAATCACTCCTTTTTGATTTCCATTTCGTTTGAATTTAATTTCAAGTCTTTGCACTTGAGCACGTTTTGCAAAAAAATCCTTAATTGTCCTTCGAGTTGCAGTCAAATCAGGCAATCGATTGAGCCGCAAAAAGTCAATTAAAACCATCATCAGAAATATCTCCAGCTAAATAGTGCTCTTGAGCAATTTATTTGCACACAGTCCACTGGCCTTAAGTCCCAGAATCCCGGAGATCTATGTCTCCCTGGACAGTATCTCAATAAAGCAATCAGTGCCACTGAAAAGTGTGTGTATGTGTACTCGCAATATAAATTCCATTTCATTTCATTTTCCTTGCAGGCAGTCAACAGGATACAGGATACAGGAGCAGTAGCAGGAGCAAAAGCAGGAGCAGCCAATGCAACCTGCACAGCAGACATCATTAGACGTGAATAGCAACCACACGTGAGTAACTTGGGGCTTTTGGCGCCCACGGACAAACACAGACTATATCGACACTATATATCTCGGACATGTGTCGGCCATCAACTTATGCAATCAACGAATTGGCTTTGACCGGGGCAAAACTTACTGAGACTGCTGCGACTGAGTCTGAGTTGGCCGCCGTCGGGTGCTATGTAAACTAGGACCAAAGACGCCATGGCTATGGGCCCAAGGAGCTGGAGGAGCGGCCTGGACAAATGTTTATTTAAGCATAAAGCCACGTACGCCCCAGCACACACACACAGCATGTGAGGCACTGGGAGAAAATTCTGGATTTTAGAAGAAAAGTTGAAGGATATTCAAAGAGGTTTTATTGAATTTATTTCAGTCATCTTTGGGTGAAAATTTATATTTTATTGCTACCAAATTTAATGTAAATTATATTGTTTGAGATGTTCAATTTTATATAGCACTCAGAGGTTTAAAATATTTATATTTTCATATTAAAATAGCTATAAATTTGCTCTAGAAAAACGTATTTTTCCAGTGTACACATACTGTTCTTTAGTGTGTGAGCTTTGGAGCTATGTACTTAGGCACAGCTGTACTTGCAGTCCATGCTTGGTAATTACATACAGACTACGGGGCCAGGAGTCCTGCCAATCCGCACTTTGTCCTTGTCCCTCGCTCCTTGCTCCTTGGGGGCTGCTGGATAAATATTTGGTTTAACCTTTTTCCTTTTGTGCGGCTTTGGCTTCGTCGTCCGGTTTTGTATTTGCCTTTGGTTTTATGGCAGCGCCTGTGTCACTATTTCATTTCGATTTGAGCCGAGTTTGCCGCAGTCCTTAGCCAGATTTGTATCCTTAATTTATTTGTTTGCGATTTCACTGATATTTTGTAATTGAGTTTTTCCTCTTTCTGTGTGTTTTTTTTAAGCGCTGATGAGGGTACAGAAAAAATGACAAATGTTGAGAGTTGGGAAAGAATGAAAGAAAACAAGGCAAAACTGGAAAGGCAAACTGTTGATATTCAAAAGACAGGACACGTTCACAGTCCAGGATATATATTTATACCGGGAACTTGGAGTGAACGTGTGCGTGTGAGTTCAAGTTTCAAGGGAAATGTGTCCCCTGGGGAGGCAGAGGAGCCGAAGGAATGTAGGAAATACTCAGCGTCTTAATTTATCGTTATGAATGAATCACTTCGCTTTAGTCTCGGCGACTCTTCTTGGAAGGACACGTACCTCCAGCGACAGGATATACTTTTGACTTAATTTGATTTCGCCCGAATGAATTTCAATTAGCTCCAAATGAAATTTACGCTACGTTAAGTGATTCGTAGTAAGATAAAAGGCTTTTTCCAACTAGTTTGTCTCTGGCTGGGTGACAATTTAAATTGTTGGGAAATTTCACTTTCTTCTTTGTCCTTAGATTGATTATGATTTCTATCTGAGGGGCAGGGCATCTAATACGGGGATTTACTCAGTTCAGCCCCCCTTTTTCCATTGAGCCTTTTGTTAAGCACCGACACTTAACCGTGTCGAGCTGGGATTTATAGAGCCCCTCTGACCTCACTCTACACATCCTTCAGATGGGATGCCTTAGAGCCTTATACCCCAGCTTGTTACTCGTACAGCTTGGCTGTTAGTTTTCCTGTTTTTGGCCCCGAGAGTTGATTGATTTCTGTTCTAGGGCCAGTCTAAGCCCACCCCCTCGCTAGTCTGACAGTATATTGACGCGCAGTCATAAATAAAAACACTCAGATATTCATGCCAATGATTCCTTGTATTTTTTTCTCCATTTCTGTGTTTTTCTCTGTTGCCTGTTGTTGTTCATTGAGGAAAGCCTGCGGCAAAAACCACTCATACCACACACACACACAAATTGTATCACTTAGTATTTGTAGCCTATATACAGTTCCCAGTTCCCAGTTTCCATTTTTTGTGACACAACAAGAAATTTAGTTGAAAGACTGATAAAAATATGATATATAGCAAATTTAGAGGAGTTTATTATATTAATTTTAGCTCCGACATTAGGGAGTTTAAAGTATTTGTTATCTAGAAAATATCAAGCTGAGTCTTAGGCTCAAATATCTGCAAAACTCTAATTCAAAGCGGATACAAGTTTTAAAATCATTTAAAATACTATCTTAAAGTATAAAATACAAATTAAAATATGTATTAAGCATAAATTCAATACTTTTTCTTTTTCCCAAAATTTTATATATTTTTTTCCCAGTTCATCACTGTTCCCATTGTTGCATGTTGACGTTGCCTGGTTTTGATCCATTTGCAGTTAGGGGAATGAATAGGACAGGGTTTTTGTGTCTCCACTCCTTGGGAATCCTGAGCGTTTTGTTGATGATTTGCAGGTTCTTGAATAATTGATGGAATGACAGTCTTTCGATGTGTCAGCATTGTTGTCACGCGTTGTTATCATCCCGATGAGAGGCCTCAACAGCTCGCGATGATGGCGTTCATCATCATTATTATATTGTCATCGCTGACAGCGGTCGTTGGCATACTCCTCCAGAGTGTGTGTGTGTCATGTTGTATTTTGTGTGTGTTTTGAATAATAAGATGCTAACGTTGCAATACATCCGCTTACACACCCACACCCACACCCATACCCACACCCACTGCGGCTTATGAATGATGAGCAGTCAAACAATCAGCTTTGGCCCCGCAAGGAATCAGGGATTTATACTGATTTACACATAAAAATAGGGAAAGAACCGAAAGCTGTGAGGCTAATGCTTTGCCCATTATGCTCAACTTCAAAAATTAAACAAGATTAATTTGTTGGCTCATTTAAAATGGCTTAACAATATCATTAATTTTCAGAGACCGGAAACCAGAAACCAAAGTAAACATATTCAGGCGGACAAACATGGCTTAAAAACGCTTTAAAGCCATCGAATTATGAGGGGATGTCTGTCTGCCTGTTTGTTGGATCATTAATCAATTTGCGGGGTAAATGGCCATTTAAAAAGGTCATAAAATTCTGTCAGCAAAGCCCCAACTTCAAGTCCGATTTTTTGTAACTATGTATAACGAAAAATTGGTATAAAATTCTGGATTATAATACATTTAAACGGAAACTTTTACATCATTTTTACAACATTTGTTTTTAAAATAAAACATTATAATATGCCTTTACCTAATGGTTTCTGAAATAATATCAATGTATTTTAAGAGTTCTTGTACATTGAGTTATTTAAATAACATTTTATTAAGACAGCTCCTTTTACAAAGTTCTAAAGCTGTTTATTTTTTAGTTTATTTACTAAAGAATATATATATATTTTTTTAGATGAAAAACAAATTTTTTCGGCATGTATGTAGGTCAAACTTTTTGTTGCACATATGTATATATATTTATTTTTTGGGGGTCCTGTGATTCAGCTTGTGAGCTAGTTCCTGTTTTGTTTGTTATCTATTCATTAAATTTAATGATATAGCTCCCCAGAGGTGTCCCATCCTGTTCTCTGTTTGAAATCATCAACTTTACTTGTGCAGAATCCTGCGGCAAACATTTTTAAACGCTTTCAGCTGGCACAGACTTTTCCGTTTTCCTTTTTCCTTTTCCCTAACCTTTTGCTTTTGCTTTGGCTTTTCCCTGCTCATTTCCGAAGTGACACACACAATTTGTGCCCCGTTCGCCTCGGGCTGAATGGGTGTGTATATATGGTGTATGGGTTACTATATGGGTTAGGTTTGCGAGTGGGTTGTCTGCCCCCTTTCATCATAATTATAAACACAAAACAGACAGCAGGATGGATGGGTAAATGGATGGGTTTTCATAGGTGGGGGAGTACATACAACTCTTGTTCGTTGCCTCCTTGCACTTTTCCATTTACCATTTACCATTTGCCATTCAAGGCGAGGCACAGCAACATGTGGCAGTCTTTGTACGTGGCCCACATTCGCCTCTCGCAATTAACAGATCAGAGCGATTCATCTCCAGACTCGACGACGGCGGGCCATCCATTAAAAGGGGTTCCAGGGGGTTCTCTTCTAGGACCTGGTCCCGCCTTTGTTAACTTGGTCTCAGGCGCCTCGTTGGTTTTTATTATTATCGTTGACCAGAGTTGGCAGCTTTTAGCTGGGTTTTATTTTGATTTATATTGGTAAAAACTAGTACTTTTAACCAAGTAAAATTTTATATATATATATAGTCTACCGATTCGGCATGTTTAAAATTATATACTAGTAAAATTATATTGAAGAATAACCCCATAGTTGCATTCAAATAGCTTTAATTTGATCGAAAACAAATCTCTCACATCTGTGCATATGATTCTCAACTAGTTCTAACATCCCCGAAACGAAGTGACTTCTGCCGGCCAAGGTTTCGAAATGTGTTGTTACAAAAGTTGCAAGTCATTGTTTACTAGTGTTCAAAGTTAGTTGCTGATCATAAATTCTAACTGGTCATAGTTACTTACTAGTCATAGATACTTACTGTTCAGAGTTATCTACTGCTCATAGTTACTTAATGTTCAATGATACTTACTGATCATAGTTACTCACTGGTCATAGATACTTACTGATCATAGTTAATTACAGATAATAGTTCTATAAATCGTCCGATTGTTTCTATGACAGATATATATATGTATGTGTATATATAGTCCACCGATTCGCCACGCCTCGACTTATATACTAGTAAAAATATATAGAAGAATAACTCCATAGTTGCATTAAAATAGCTTAAATTTGTTCCAAAACAAATTTCGCACATCTGTGCATATGATTCTCAACCAGTTCTAACATCCCCGGAACGAAGTGACTTCTGCCGGCCAAGGTTTCGAAATGTGTTGTGTTACAAAAGTTGCAAGTCATTGTTTACTAGTGTTCAAAGTTAGTTGCTGATCATAAATACTTACTGGTCATAGTTACTAACTAGTCATAGATACTTACTGCTCATAGTTACTTAATGTTCATTGATACTTATTGATCATAGTTACTCACTCGTCATAGGTACTTACTGATTATAGTTAATTACAGGTCATTGTTACTTACTGTTCATATTAATTTACCGTTGAAGATACTTACTGCACCTCTACATTTAACAACCGTTTCTCTGGCAGTTTTATAGTATTATGTATTATTCCGATTTTCTTAAAACTAAAAAAGATAAAAATATTAATTCTCTGACTAGTTTCGTGGCAGTTCTGATGAACTACCGTCTTGTGCCATATCCTTGTCCATGTGAATCTCCCTGTCGATTTACATTCACATTTACATTTCCCCACCCGTCATTATAATTGTAATTACGATAATTACGACAAGGACTGGGGTGGATTGGATAGCTCCTTGGAGCGGCACCTTAATGAAGCCGCATTCAATGCAGTCCACTGATGCAGTCCCTCTGCATCCGAATGGGTGTTCCACATGAGCGATGGCCACTCATCCGTCACTCCCCGGGCTGTCCGCTACCGTCCAATTTCAATGTCCTCGCTCTCCTTGTCCTTGTCGTCCTGTTTATCCACTTAGCAGCTCACGGACCTCGTGTCGTTAATTGAAATCTTTCGCATTAAGCCGCAGGACTCCTCCAGCGTCCTTCGTTCTTCGTTCGTTGCTTTTGCGTTTCCCCATTGTTCCTCCCGGTAGCCGGGCATTTCCGCTTATTGTTTTTGTTATTAAAGTTTAATTAAATACCTTTTAAAAACGCTCACGCATGAGTGGAAAATATTTTTTAATGAGCTTTTGCGCCTTTTGTGTGCAGAAAAATGAAATATACGCCACGGCGGCGGTGAGGTGGCCAACACGGCGTATGCGTGTTGTTCTTAGCCATTAAAAAGCGCGTAAATTGATTGCAAACAAAGCGGGCAAAAAGCATACACAAACACCTCGAAAATAATTAACACTCCCAGGCGTAAAAGTTGCAGCCATATATATCAGTTTTCATAAAAAAAATTATTGATAAAAGAGGAAAATATATTTCCACCGAAAGTGTTAAAATGCTGATGACTTAAGCCCAAGGGAGACCGAGACCCAGTGGTATTTGCAGATGGAAATTATTAAATGCCATCATCCGAATTAATTGTACAGGTAACTCTGAGAAAAAACGCAAATATTAACTTTCATCATTCAGTCTGCATTGGCAACAAAATCAATTAGCTTTATTATGATGCCAGGCATTGTTCTAGCATTTACTTCAATATTATTGTAATTATTTTCCTCTTTAAACAAAAGCCCTTTCGAGTGGCAACAATTGATAGCAATTCAGTTTGTTTTGTTTGGAGTGAAATTTGATACATATTGACTTTTCATTATGAAATAAATGACCAATTAGCCGGAAATCACTTAATCAAATCATTTAAATTGTAACTTGAGTATTTAATAATTGAAACAAATACAATTTTATTAACTTGACATGCTGAATAAAGGTAATTAAATATATTACTAAATGAAATCCAATTTAATTGCTACATAAATTCAACATTTCTGCCTTTGGCAAGGTCATCACTCTAATTATTCAACTCAGGTTTTTGTATACATTTTGGGTTTTGAATTTATTTTTATATCCTTGAGGGAATTACAGTTTCCGTCAGAAGCTCGATCCTATAATTCAATTGCAAACTACAAGGGTATATTAACTTCGTTTTAGCAAAGTTTTTTCCCTTATGGTTTTGAATTCTTTCGACCAAGAAAGGCAAAGATAAAATTAACAAGAAATAAAAAGCTGTATAAATATTAATAAAATTACTAGGCACACACAAAAAAGGAAACTTTTATAAGTACCTGCCTTGGATTAATTATACCGTTTGCTTGTCTACAAAAAACTTTCGTTGTCTGTGTGTAATATAAATGCCAAAAATACTTGTAATATTAAAGGTGGGCTTCGGTGGCGTGAAAATCTCCGGAAAATGTAGAAGAAATAGGAGCAGGAGTGGAAGCTTGGAAAAATCCAATGCTAAAATGCAAAACACAACCGTAACCATGGCCGTTGTCGTAACCATTAGCCGTAACCAAAAACCGAGCCAGACATTGAATTGACCTTAATAAACTCGACTTCCTGAGCCTTTTTTTTACTTTTATTTTTATTTTCGTATATATATATATTATGTTGCTGTTTGTAAATAATTCGAGTTTCTCTCGTTTCAGAAAATGCTGATACTGCTGCCGCTGCTGGGGATTTTTGGTAATGCTCTCGTTGCTGAAGTCGAGGCCAGTCTGAGTCTGGGCTTTAAGGCCATCAAAGTGAGTGTGAACGAAACCGAAGCAGCCATGAAAATCTTTTATGAATGCTTTTAATGTTCTCTTTTTCCTAATTATGCAATCCCATCGCCATTGATTTCTTTCCCATGGATCAGTTGCCCAGGCATCCCAATCCGGGTAAGTTCCTTAGGATTTCAATTTCAATTGAATTGCACAGCATCGATGCGTATTTTGCAATTCGGAAGTTGAGTTGAAGAGGAAGATTTCCGAATTACATTTACTGTGTGTGTTAGGGCTTCATTAATCAAAGGCCTGTCTTAGCACCATCATCATCATCATCATCAAAAAAGTGTATTTTTTAAGTGCAAAAACAAGCTAGAAGGCAAGAAGCTATTACAGTTTCGTTTTTTTGTTGCTATAACCAAGTTATTAATTAAATAAATATTTATATAAATGTTTTTAGGTAGAAAAGGTTTAAAAATACCCACATTTTAATTATATTTCTTTTTGTGTAATAACTTTATACCCTAGAAATATCCTAAATTGAATTTCTCATCGCCACCTTTCTTTGTCAAGGATTGCCTTCTGTGAAAAGTACCTCTAAAAATACACAGATTTTTTCCCAGAGAGAAGCCAACATAAAAGGGAATATAAAATTTGACAGGCACAATAGATGGGCTCAGAAATTTCATTAAAACTTGCACCAAGGAAATGTTTTCGTTGTTCCCATTTCCAATTGCTTGTTCGCTTTTTCGCCAAAAAGTTGTTGTGGACTCGACGCTCTTTCTAATATTGATTGTGTGCACCTATATAACCAGCAGCAGCATCCTGGATTTGGGATACCATATCCTAGCTTAGGTTAGCTTAGATATAGCATCTCCTGGGAAATATCCACAAATACAAGCACACACACACACACACAAGCCAGCTAACTAACGAGTAAAGTGATTTTAATGGTTTTATGTTCGATTCGTTTTCTTCATTTTTTGTGTGTTTTGAACGTCCTCCCACTCCTCGGTGGACTTTTTACCAATTCGCCCCGACATGTGCCATTTTCCATGCTCTTTTCAATGCTTTTCAATGCTTTCAACACACACATGATGTTGTCGTAGAAAGCTGTTCGAAATTAAACAGCAGCCAGCAGTAGTCCAAACTGTGCCAGAAACTTTTCGCTTCGATTCGATGCGATTCGTTTTGAGGGCGTAACAACAGCAACAACAGAAATTCAACCAATATCGTCCTTCCTCTATATTATATATATGTTTTTTAGTCAAAAGTTTTGAGTCAAATGCCAATACAGCTTGTGTGTGTGCTGCTGCTACTGCTCGGTCAGAACCAAAAAATAAAAGTTTTTCCTGGCCAAACTGAGCTCCGAGCTCCTGGTGGCCCTCGCACGTAGTCCAACGAGTGGTCCTGCCCCAGGACATATCAATGCCCCACACGTCAGTATGGCTTCGATGCTATGCAGAGGGAAAAATATATAGAAATTAATTTTTAAAGTTTTATACTACAAGATATAAATGTCTTTTCTAATGTAAACTGCTGGGAAAATATTTTGTTTTTTGAAAAGTAAAGAATTTCATATATATTATTTCAAATAAATAATTTCACAATCTTAAGGCATCTTTCTTACCCATAAAAACCAGATTAAAGTTATTTTTCTTCAGTACTTAGCTTTCCCTTACCCAACAACCCGAGTTGCATTGTCCAGGCGTTGCGGAACAAGTTTATTTAAACTGTAGAACTTACTCTTTATTCCATAGAAAGTTTACCAGGAACACGAAAAATGCTGAGACTTTGTGAACTTGGCCCAAACATATTTGCGAATACGTGAAGCAATGAAGAGCTCTCCCTTTCCCTCACACAAACAAGCCGTAAAAGTTCACTTCGAATGAGCTGCAAAGATTAGTCCTGAACATATCATTTGCAGGCGATGCCAAGGAATGGCCATGGTCATAAAATTCGCAAAAACTTTCCCTTGGAAAAGTTGCTAAAGGGAAAGCCATTTAACAAATTTCTTTCAATCATACAAGTTGAGATTTATGCCGGCTTTCTATAAAGCACTATTATATATTCATATTTATTAAATTAAAAAGAGTAATTATAAATTATTACTTTACCTGGCTTTAAACTACTTCAATTTGTCATTTAGCTAATAGTGTTGTATTCAGGCTTTTCCCCAACTCGTTGAACTTTGATTTTCCCTTTGGCAATCTGGGACAAGTGTATTGTCAAACATATATCCTAGGGCCAGTCACAATCTCCGGGAGAGATTTTAGTTTCTGAAGTAGAATTGGTAACAATTTTTCAGCCCTCAATCACATGTGATGTCCCAAGCAAACACTTGAGATACAAAAATTGCGCATACGCAGCATGGGCCAGGGTTCTTTTTTGCAAACTTTTGTTTGGAGTAAGAAGGACTACTTTTTTTTTTTTTTTTGCTATATCCATGATCCAGGCAGGCGGAGAGGGCACTCAAAACTTGTCGCACACGCTCGAGTGCTGTAAATCTTTGCACAAAATGAAACTTTATTTGGTCATGGTCATCAACGACTTAAGTAAATCTAAAACTCTAAGTAAAACAAACACTCCACTCGAGTCCGAAGGCAGTTGGGCCTTGCAGAGGCCGCATAAAACAAATAAACTGCGGCCACGTGACCCCAAAATAGGGGGTCACATTGCTGGGTGCACCATCATCGGCAAAAAGGGTAGAGTTCATTTCGACCTTAGGTATATGTACATGTATATATATTATGTATATGGTGTAGCCAGGCAGGGAGACATATCAGCGACCCCTTGAGTGCGCTTTGCCGAGCATCCGAGGGCCTTTAATGTTGTCAACGAGCGGCAGATAAAAGCGCTCGCAATGCACATTCCAGAGTTCACTTCCGCCTACACTTTGCTTAGAGAATGGGTATATTGCATATTGGATCTAAGTAAAAGCATCCGAAAATTACTTTAAAAAGTTCCTTAAAAATAAAGGTATAGAAGAGGCAGTGTTTGATTCAAAGATAAGTTCTTAAGTTAAACAGTTGAGAAAGGTTGAGAAAATTCCCCAATTAATCAGTAAAAATTTCTCTCTCTTATTAGTATAAGAACTCAATTTTAATTACCTTAAAGAAAATGTATTTTCCTATATCCCACTTAAGAGTATTTAATCTGCATTAAAACCCTTTCCCCTAATGCCTTGCCTTGTTTTTGCTCAGCTCGATTCGTTAAGGATAAGCGATTCGTTGTAACGAACTTGCTCACACAAAACATCCTCACAGGTGCATGTTCGAAAAATGTCCCTGTGTGTGTACATCTATATAAAAGGATTCCTTACACCCACATGCACCCACCTCTTAAAGTGTGCAGACATCTTCCTGAAAGTACGGAAAAATACATTAAGAAGATTGCACTCTCGAAAATGACACTGCGAGAGGCGGGTGCAATACCCGTAGATACTTCGAACTTCCGGTTCGAATGGCGACTTTTCAATAATAAACGAAAATTGCTAATGTCATAAAGATGCGACAACGTGCCCATATTCATTACAATCAGCTTGAGCAATGCCAATTTTCACATTAACCATTGATGCCAAATGAATGATGATGCCAGTTGTAGACGAGAAGGTCTCCCTCCCAGTCGTGGCAGTCACGTCGCCAGTGAAATCAATTCAAAGTGGAAAAGTACAGGGCACGTACCCGATCTCCCACAGAAACGCACAAGTGGCAGGAGGAGGAGGAGGTGGAGGTGGAGGACCAGGTCCTGGGCTTCTGTGAGCTAACAGCTTTCACACAGTGCGATTGCAAATGCCTTGCCACAAGCCCGAGTAATTGTGATTGGCGGCTACATACACGAGTTTTTGGCCAGGCCAAAACAAGGAAGGAGCACAAAGGAGCTCGGGAGATAGGAACAGTAACAGAAACATGTGAAAGGACACTGGGGGAAAATTCTAGGAAAATATAATATATTTAAGATACTTGAAACAACTTTATTATATTTATTATCTGTGAAAGTTAATATAAAAGACAATCTAAAATACATCGAGACTTAAAATCATATTTTCAGGATTTTTTATTCCCTAAATTTTCTTCTCTGTAAAAAAGAAAACCTTTCTTTTTGGCAAAAGCAAACTTTGGCGACCTAATGGCATGCCATAAAGCAGCGGCATTTGTCAATATCAATTTTGATGAGACACGAACGCAAACGCAGGTCTATTGTTTGCGCTGTAAATATGCGATTCCAGCGAAATTTATAACAAAACACATATAGCACATAGCACATAGCTGGCTGACATTAATTGGGTTCCCATTCATTCGCATTGCACATACCACATACGACATGTATTACGCATTTGATGACATAAATTAGCTGGGAAATGAAACGAAATGAAATGAAATAATAAAGTCGAAGCACAGAGACAGTGAGCACTGATTGCCAAAAAAGGACTCCAATGCCAGGAAGTTTCTTTCATTTTACAGGACACACACACACGCAGTACACAATTTGCTTTTTGGAAATTTTCCAAGGAACCTTCACAGAGTTTTTATGCTCATTTAACTTTTTTATTTTCTATTTTTCCTGCTTTTCCCCTCCGGTGCATGCAACCAACGCTTTTTCGGTGACAACAATGGCACAAACCCGGCAACAACCAAACAAAAAAACCGCCTGCCGCTCTGGATTTCGGATATGGTCTCTTGGATCCTTGGATTCCTATGCCGAATTTCGCCCCCGGTCTTCGGTGCCTGCAGCCAATTGCAGCGTGGGCAACACAACATTCGCACATGGAGTCACATTTAAATTGGATTGTAAAACTCAATGCGTTTGCGAGGTGAGTTGCTGGGGGCGCCGACGACGTTGGCTTAAAAGGAGGGCCGAGGGCCATCCGCACAAGAGTTGGCCACAAACCACAGACATCCTCAGCCACAGGACCAAAAAAAAAAAGAAATACGGATGTGGGTACTTGTGCACTGGGAAAATTAAAAAAAGTGGAGAGGATTAATTTTTGGCCCTATAACTTACATATATTCTTGATCAGCATTAATATCTAACTCGATCTAGCTGTGTCCGAAAAAATTTAATTTGTTCAAAAATTTCAAAAATTTTATATGGGGTTACATCGTTAAAATTGGTAAAAATAGATCAAAAATTTGATTTTTATATTTTTAAACAGATGCAGATTTCTTAACCATTTGAAAACTAATACAGCAAAGCTTTTCGAAATGAACTTAATGAATTTTTTGATTAGTAATGAGTTTTTGAAACTTGGATTTATTTACAAAATTTGATTATTTATAATTAGGATGGATTCTTATTGTAGTCAGCAGCTTGCAAATCAGTGAAGGAATCGTTTACGACCCCATAAACCATATATCTTCTTGATCAGCATGAACAGTCGAATCGATATAGCTATCTCCGAGGAAAATTAAATTAATAATTAAATTTTTTTTCCAAATTTTCAATATTTTACATCGTTAAAATAGTCAAAAATTGGCAAAAAAAAAATTGGATTTTTTTTTTATTTTTAAACTCAGAATTCAGATTTTTTGACCATTTTAAAACTGACACAGCAACTTTTTCCAAATTAAAATAAATGCTTTTTTGGCTTAGTTAGGAGTATTTTAAACTCTGATTTGTCGACAAAAATTGACATGAATAATGATTTAAAGAACTCGAATATTTAGTGATTTATTTTCGCATAGTTTTTTCCCCAGTGTATACCACATACACAGGGACATAGCAAAGCACTTTCACAAATACGAAGCCGCATTCCGGCCAAAAGCCAACTGCAGTTCAGTGAAACGATTCCAGTTTTGGGATCGCTGTTGTTTAACCTGTGCTTAGTTCTGCATTCCGCTTTCCATTTCCCTCCCTCTTCACTGGCTTTTAGTTTTTCATTTTTGGGTTTTTATATATATATTTTTCGGTAGGATTAGCGCCAACACTTGCGCCATTTAAATGTGAATTGCTTTCGCTCTGTAGCGATTTTAATTAAAATTTAAATAAAGTGTGAAACGCTTGAAATTACAATTTTGGAGCGTGGCACAGTAGTTATAGTTACAGTAGTTCTTTGATAGCCGGAATAATGGGGTAAATTCCACAAGCTAATTAGAGTTAAATAGTGCTTAAACTAATTTTAAATATAAGCATTAGTAAAAGAAGTATCTAAAACCAAATTTAAACTATTTATAATACTATAAAAAGCTACAAATATTCCGAAAAATGTGAAAGCTGTTTTTCGGTTAATTTTATCTTATGCATAATGATCTAAGATAAATACCTTTAAAGTTCATTTATAAACCAATTTCAAAACAAAGCAAAAACTTAATCCCTGACATTGCTTTATGGCCAAGTGCCTCGCCCTGTAACCCTTCCTAGTTTTTTCAACTTCTGGTTTCTGCACCTTATTTCCTTTTGGTAGTTTATCATGTGGCATAAAACCAACACAAATACTCGAGTGCCTCGCAAAATTTATGCAATGCAATTTCGTGACGATGCCAAAGACAAGGAGCGATGGAAAAAAGCATCATCGGTCTCTGACCGCTTAGAGGGCGGAAAGTGGATTACAAACAAAGCAGTTTGGGTCTGTCCGAAAATGTTAATTTCCACATCAGAGATGCTGGGAAATTTTGTCAATAAAAGGGAGAAATACTTGTTTAAAAATAATAAGAAATTTAAATTATATACAAGAGAAAGCTAAGTATTGCGTAGAATTTTTAAGACAACTTTTCGTTAAATATTTATATTGTTTCAATATTTGTAAAGTTATATTTCCTTTAATAATCTCATTAAATTCAATCAGCTAAAACTTATTATTCCTAAAATTAAAAATCAAATACTTAAATGTGATTATTTTCATTCAAAGTGGAAAATATCAGTCAGGGAAAAGGACAAATCGTCAGCACTCTTGCTCCACACACCAGTAAACTTACACACAATACGAAGAAAAACCCCCTTGTGAACAAAGTTCGTGGCCAACTCAGTTGTTTAGTTCCCCCTCGTACGATTACCCCAATATTTTCTTTACATTATGACTTTATTTTCGGCTGCCTGGCCAAAGCTAAATAAACAACAATGGTGGGCCAACATATTTAATGTATTTTAATGTGGCATTTACAGAATGGCCGCCACGCCTGCTCGACTCTATGTCCCAACGAGCAGCTTCCGGCGCCGGAGGATACGATTTCCTGCCGATCGCCGCGCCTGGTCGAAGTTCCCGGCCACTGTTGCAAGATGTGGCTCTGTGAGAATCCAACAGCTGATGGTAAGTTGTCCATCCAAATACTGAAAGAAAATACATAGTAAATAAATAAAACAAATAATTATAAAAGAAATGTAACATAAGTAGTAAAAGGATTACGAAAGTATTTTCTAAAACTAAAGATGCCATTTTAAGAACTCATATTCATATTCTTTTGTGTCAGTGCACACTATGGGACTGCCAGCCCTCGTCTTGTTATTGTTTTATAAGTGTGTTTATGGCTGTGGCCATCCCATTGTGTCCACCTCCTGCTCCTGCTCCCGCTTCTGTCCAGTGGTCCGAGTTAATGGCGCTCAGGGGCGTGTCGTGCTGGGTCTGATGCGCAACTTAATGCTTTTTAAGCGCCTTCCCCTCAACACAAACCCACACCATAACCAAGTCCAAAGTGCAGCGCATATTTATGAAGATGAATTATTCCATCACGAGACCGAGACTGTTGGCGACCAGCAGGAGCATTTGCCGGAACAAGACACGGAGCAGGAGCAGGAGCAGGAGCAGGAGCAGGACAAGGAGCAGGAGCAGGAGCAGGAACAGGAGCAGGAACAGGAGCAGGAGCAGGGGCTCAGCTAGCCGGCGGCGGCAGCAGCAGAGTAATTACTTACACAGGGATTAAGTGTTAATTAAACGCGCAGAATGCAATAAATAAACAAGATATTAAGCGCTTCAGCCTTGTACCAGGAAGCCATGATGAAGCTTGATGAGGAGAGGAGCTCACCAGGATGTGAGGAATTGAGACCGATTACCAATCCTTTGAAGGTCCACATATTTCCATAAAAAATTAATTGAAATTTTTATTATTTTCATTATAATTCCCAAAAGGTTTTAGTAAAATATCAAAGCTCATGTTTTTGGATCAGCAGTTATTAGTCATTAATACGACAACTTTAACAAAAAACAAAAACATATAAATTGTTTTATTTCCATTATAAAAATCCAACTGGTTCTAGATAAAAAAAAAATGTTAAAGTAAATTATTCATATATTTTCAAAAGACTTACCGTGAAAATCTATCTTGTGAAGCGATATTCAAATGATAAGCATTAACAACAACATTTTTTTCTGAAAGAAAATAATTAAATTTATAAAAAAAAATATATGAATTAAAAACATACTTCTCAATTACATCTGATTCACGATTTTCACAATTTAATGCAAAATCTAGGAAAACTTCCTCGAGCCTCGTTTGCGTTACCAAATAGTCTTCAATACATAATTTCTTCTGGTTCTCCTCAATGAGCTGAAACACTTTAGCCAGAGATTCATTCTGTGGCATAAAATAGGTGAGAAGTCCATTATATTCATCTTTTAGTTCGGCATCGCGAATGTTTTTCAGTATAAAAGTATTTACGATTAAAATTCGATTCGAAAATCCCGTGTCGGGTTTCAATTTAATTTCTTCGACGACTCTGGCTGAGTTCTCATCCAATACTCTGTCTAGTTCTAGGGTTTCCGAGCATGACGATGACGATCTCTGTATGATTCTTTGAAAATTTTTCTTTTTGAACTTAACTTTTACTTTCAGGATGAGTCCCTTTGCGTACTGATTCTTAAGACTCTGCGTTGAGCCAATGCACTTGAACTCACCATCCACCATGATGGTCAGGCGAGTGCACAGCGCCTCGCACTCGTCCATGCTGTGCGAGGTGAGGACCAGGGACTTCCCCGCCGTCCGAATGAGATCCATTATCTGCCAGAGGTTACGCCGGGCACCGGGATCCATGCCACTGGTGGGTTCGTCCAGGAAAACCACCGATGGGTTGCCCAAGATGGCTATAGCAGTGCTCAGCTTCCGTTTGTTTCCTCCGCTATAGTGTTTGCTCTGCTTATTCATGTAATTTTCAAAGCCAAAGGCCCGGGCAAGAGTCCAGCTAATGTCTTTCACATAACGTCGCTGGACGCCCCTCAGTAGACAATAAATGCGAAGATTTTGTGTTCCTGTCAGGTCCTCGAAGATTGCATCGAATTGCGGACAGTATCCGATCTTATGGCGAGCCTGTCTCAACTGCGTGGACACACTTAAGCCATCTATGTAAGCATCTCCAGAGGTGATTTCGTGATCTCCTGTTAGCATCTTGAAGACACTCGTCTTGCCCGCTCCATTGATTCCCAGAAGACCAAAACATTCGGCACTTCCAACATGAAATGAGACGCCTCTCACAGCCAGTTTTTTCCTATATTGTTTCCTGACGTTGTCCACCAGTAGAGGTATTTCTTTTCTTCGGGAACCTAACAGTTCTCTGACCAGCATACGTTCTGCTACTACATCCTGATTTTCTGAAGATCCACCGGTTTTTCGCTTCTTCGAGGACTTGCCTAATCTCCTTAAAGCTTGCCTTATGGAATGAATCAGCTTGGAATCTGTTATGATCAGAAACAGGAAAAGTAATATGGCCACAATTATGATGTACATTATCTCCGGCAGAACTCCAGGATGCTTCCATGCAAAGTAACCTGGAATTTTGCAACACATTGGCAACTTCTTACACTTTACTTCTTGGGGAATTCTTTTCAAGGCAGGCACACTACATCCACTGCGAATATTGTGGCTAATGTGCAAGTGACGAGTGGCACTGGCCAGGCAATAGTGGGGAAATATTCGAAAGTACCAGGCCATCTGCTTGGCCACATCCTGCAGCTTAAAGGCCTCAAAAGAAAGGGTGATATAAAGCATATATGTGGCACACCCCGTTGCCAGATTAAAAATACCAATGCGAACGAATCCATTGGCGGTATCGGAGAAGCAATCGGCCAAGACATAACTTATTGGCAAACCACCCAAGCCAAATATCAATAACATGACATAATATCGACTCAGGTCGGTGACTGACGAATAGCCCGGCTCTTGGAAGGCACAAATTGTGATAACGGCCATGAAAGACGATATCGCGAATATCAGGAAGTCCCATATGAACATTGTTGCCCAGTAGGAGAACGCATCGACGCCAGAGAGGAACTGCAGAAGCTTCGCTCGCGTCTCCCGCTCCTTGATAATTGGTATGGCAAAAAATGCCGTCACGAAGCACATACACAATGTTAGATTAAGGGCTATCTCGGCGCCCAATCTCTGACCCTTGCTGAGTCGCAGGACCCGGGTATCGTCGCTGTATGGCAATGGCTTATTGGTCACATAGGTGCCGGCCCTTTCGCCCAGATAATGTCGAGCCATGGCATTATGGAATATATTCAAGGTCAGGGGGGCAGTGTGCAGCGGCTTATTATTCAGCCAGACGGTGGTGTTAGTTTTGTGCATTGTGGCTCCCGCTATAAAGGCATAGTCCAAGCGGTGGTTCCATTTTTTGCCCAGACCCAATATGTAATCCTCAACGCCGAGATCCCCTGTTTTCAGCAACTTACACCGTTTCCCATAACGTTCCGTATGCTTTGCATAGGCCATGGCCAGGGGACTCAATTGATCGTTGGTCGAATTATCCTCCAAAACCATGAAACTCGATTTATATTGGAATGGTGATATCTCCATTGCTGGTAGTTCATAGTAAATGCGACCGCCCCGGGAGTTTAAAATGGCCAAGACCAATATAACCACGGGCAGCAGGATCTGTATCAACATAAGCCAGTAATTACGAAAGGTTACCTTGATCTTTTTCAACATCAAAGCTTGAAAGCACATTAGGCAACGAATCAAAAATCGATTCTCCCGCGTTTTGTTGTCAAACACAAGGGTCTGAAAGTCAGGGGTTGCATTCTTCTCTTCACCTCCCTCGTATCGCTTTTCCTTGTTAACCTCCATGAACACGTCCTCCAAGGTGGCCACACTCAGGCCATAGCCACTTAGCTTTAGTTTCGCACAATTCCTATCGAGATCAGCCAGCAAGGCAGAGAACTTTTTGGACTCAGTGTGGGGCAATCGATAGGTCAGTTCGGTGCCCATTTCCCTTTCCGGTTTCAGATACGGCAAATGGCGATTTATCAACTCAGTTACGGCGTCTACATTGCAGTCTTTCTGCATGATGCACACCAACTGGTAGCCCGTTCCATATCGCTTCTTCAGGTAGAAGGAGGTGCCATGGCACTGCAGTTTGCCCTCGGACAGGATGGCTATGCGATCGCCCAGGACATCGGCCTCGTCCATGTAGTGGGTGGTGAGGAGCACCGTCCTACCCTGCTTCTCCGACTGCAGCAGCTCCCAGAGGCTCTTTCGTCCGGCGGCATCGATGCCGGAACTCGGCTCATCGCAGAGCACAACCCGGGCACTGCCGCACATGGCACAGCAGAGGGATAGTTTCCGCTTCATGCCGCCGGAAAGATTCTCGGCAGCCACCTTGGACTTGGCCTGCAGGCCCAGAACCTCCACGTACTTCTTAACTTCTCTGTTAACAGCCTCGGATCCACGGACTCCCTTCAGTTTGCTAAAGAACACTATGTGGTCCCGGACACTCATCTTCATGAAGAGTATATTGTGCTGCGGACAGATTCCCAGCGACTGGCGGGCCATGTCCAACTGGGTTCTAATGTCATAGCCATTGATCAAGGCCGTTCCTGCTGTGGGTGCTATTATGCCTGTGAGCATATGCAAGGTGGTGGTCTTTCCAGCGCCATTGTGTCCGAGTAATACTGTGATTTCATCGCGATACATCTTCAAGTTCAGACCCTTGACAGCCTTAAATTTCCCGAAGGTTTTCTGTAAGTTGTTCAATTGGATGCCCACCTGTCGTTTTCTCGTGCCACCTCTGTGTTTCTTCTTTGGAGAATCTGTGGGCTTAGATCCACACCAAAACTGTCGTTGGAGAAAGAAGTTCCACCTGCGAGCGATGCCATAATTTCCTGGAAATACCTGTTCCACATACATGCAAATCCCCAGGTAGATAAGCGCCGACATAGTGAGCGTCATGATTATATAGAACAAAGTGATGTCATCGTCCGCAGAGACAGTATGGAACATACTGCTCCAAGTGGCTCCCATTCCAGTGCCCTCAAAGTCCATTATAATGTTAAAGCCAATACCCAAGGCTGAATTCGAAAAGACCAGGGCTATCATCAATTTTCCAAATAGGCTGAGGTGTTCGTAGTAGTAGAAGGCAAACGTGTACGGAATATAGGTGATGAACCACAAAATACAGGTAACAGCCGACGCCGTACTGGCCTTGGAGAAGAATACGGCCAGCATGAAACAGAAACATATGCTGGCAATGACATAGGTGTGCAGGAACACCAAAATCACTATCCACTGGGAATTGGTGAGGATGGATACGGAGGTATAGAAATTTACCTTGAACAGAAACAGGATGAGCAGAACCACCATCATCAGCATCAGGTAGCTCTTCAGGAACCAGGCGATCCAGTGCAGCCAGTTATCCACACCAATTAGCTTCATCATATCCTTCAGCTGCAACTCCTTTTCGGAGGTCACATCCTTGGTCACCACCGAGCTGGGGTACATGAAGCTTAGGATTACTATAAAAGGCAGCAGTTGTCGCAGTCCCAGTAGAAGTGGATCAAACGTGTAGGCCCTGAAGGGAAATCGCTGGAGTCGGACGCGCGGGAACTTGAACATACTTTGTCGCGTGGCCTGGGACAGCCAGGACATGGTAAGGGCATGCTGTACCGGTAGAAATCCCTCCCGGATATAGCCATCCGGAACGCCTCCATCATCGTGCTCCGGATTGCGAGGCCCCGACAGGTCGTATCTCACGAATAGCTCACGCGTATGCCAGGTTTCTATCACCGGCCCCGGCATCGTTCGCAGCTCACTGGGAAATCGTAGGCTGTAGGTGAAGTTAAGGGGAAATCTTTGATTCATAGCTCCACCATCGTTCTGACCGAACTCAACGCCAACGAGAAAGTTGTGCTCCAACATGTCATGCTCCATCTTCTCTGCACTCTCATAGGGACGCGTACCATTAAGGAACAGGAAAATGGCGGCAGACCTCGCTATAGCAGCATTTGTCGGCGTATCCGGTGTATAGCAGAGATATGCCTTTGGTATATTAAGCGTACCATTGGAATGCAGGATCCTGTTCCCCATTTTCACCCATTGCAAGAATAACACCAAGCTCTCTATAGGCACGTGTTTGTAACGACTCTCTGGCATCTTTTCGGGCAGAACCAGAATGCGCAGGATCACAAGGAGACTTATGAATACCAATGGGAAGATTAGACCCACAATAATCTGGATTTTTTGATTCCGCTGAAGAATCCAATTCTTCCATAGGAGTATCTTCAGTTTCTGCCAATCTCCCACGGGGTATACCTCACTTTCTAAGGATTTAATGTCGGAGCTCATGTTTTTGTGGAAATATTTTAATTGTTGTTGTCTTTTGACAACTTGTTGACTTAAATTTCAAAGATAGTAAAGGTTAAGAGAAAAAAATACAAGCTGACCAATTTGGATTTTCATTATATTTGCCAAACAGTTCTAGCAAAAATACAAAATACCACAATTTGGATTAGCAATTATCAAAGTTCCACTGACAATTTCATGGGTTACGGTATTTGGATACAACAAATTTAACTTCTTCTATCATAGTTTCCAACTGGATCCCGCTGAAAATGTAGGATTTATCAGTAAATTAAATTTTTCAAAAATATTTTCAAAAGACCTACCCTGATAATAAATTTTGTATCTGACATTCATATTATAAAGAATCAACAACAGCAACGTTTCCTGAAAAAATATGCAGAAATTATTAAATTATTTAAAGGGGATATGAAATTAATACGTACTTTTGAATTACATCTGCCTCACGGGTTTCACAATTTGAAGCAAAATCTAGGAAAACTTCCTCGAGCCTCGTTTGCGTTACCAGATAATCTTCAATATATAATTTCTTCTGGTTCTCCTCAATGAGCTTAAAAACTCTAGACAGAGATTCATTCTGTGGCATAAAATAGGTGAGAAGTCCATTATATTCATCCTTTAGTTCGGCATCGGGGATATTTGCCAGTACAAAAGTATTTACGTTTAAAATTCGATTGGAACGCACCTCCTCGGGTGTCAATTTCGTTTCATCGGCTGAGTGTTCACCCTTTTCTCTGTTATGTTCTAGGGATTCCGCGGATGACGCTGATGACGCAGATGAGGTCTTTGCGGTTTTATGGGCGTTTTTCTTTTTGGTCTTTACTTTTACCTTCAAGATGAGTCCCTTTGCGTACTGAGTTTTAAGACTCTGCGTTGAGCCAATGCACTTGAGCTGACCATCCACCATGATGGTGAGGCGAGTGCACAGCGCCTCGCACTCGTCCATGCTGTGCGAGGTGAGGACCAGGGACTTCCCCGCCGTCCGAATGAGATCCATTATCTGCCAGAGGTTACGCCGGGCACCGGGATCCATGCCACTGGTGGGTTCGTCCAGGAAAACCACCGATGGGTTGCCCAAGATGGCTATAGCAGTGCTCAGCTTCCGTTTGTTTCCTCCACTATAGTGTTTGCTCTGCTTATTCATGTGATTTTCAAAGCCAAAGGCCCGGGCCAGAGTCCAGCTAATGTCTTTCACATAACGTCGCTGGACGCCCCTCAGTAGACAATAAATGCGAAGATTTTGTGTTCCTGTCAGGTCCTCGAAGATTGCATCGAATTGCGGACAGTATCCGATCTTATGGCGAGCATTTCTCATCTGAGTGGACACACTGAAGCCATCTATGTAAGCATCTCCAGAGGTGATTTCGTGGTCTCCTGTTAGCATCTTGAAGACACTCGTCTTGCCCGCCCCATTGATTCCCAGAAGACCAAAACATTCGGCACTTCCAACATGAAATGAGACGCCTCTCACAGCCAGTTTTTTCTTATATTGTTTCCTGACGTTGTCCACAAGTAGAGGTATTTGCTTTCTTCGGGATCTTAACAGTTCTCTGACCAGCGTACGTTCTGCTACTACATCCGGATTTTCTGAAGATCCACCGGCTGATCGCTTCTTTGACTTACATAGTTTCCCAAGACCCTGGAACAGCTTGGTGTCGTGTATGATCACAAAAAGAAACAGAAATATGCCCACAACAACGAGATAGACGATCTCTGGCAAAATTCCGGGCTTTTTCCATGCAAAGTAATCTGGAAGATTACAACAAAAACAACTATTAGGGCCGCCAAATTTCTGTAAGAGCCGGTTTGGAGCGGATTCACACATGTTTCGAATAGCATATACTGAGAACAAGTTGCGTATGCCATTGGCCAGGCAAAAATGGGGAAATATCCGAAATACCCAGACCGGTCCCGTCAGACCAAACGTGTCCAATGGGATATTCATGATATATAGGCCACAACCTGTTATCAGATTCAAAATGGCAATGCGAACGAAACCCGTGGCGGTATCGGTGAAGCAGTCCGCCATGAAATAACTAACTGGCAAAGCACCAATGCCAAATATCAGTAATAAAGCATAATTTCGTCCCAGCTCATTGACAGTCTTATAGCCCGGCTCTTGAAAGCAAGCCAGAGTCAATATGGCCATCAAAGCCGATATCGCGAATATCAGGAAGTCCCATATGAACATTGTTGTCCAATAGGAGAATGCATCGACGCCAGACAGGAACTGCAGAAGCTTCGCTCGCGTCTCCCGCTCCTTGATAATGGGTAAGGCAAAGAATGCCGTAACGAAGCACATGGCCAATGCCAAATTGAGGCCTATTTCGGTGCCAATGTGACCTTGGTACTTTTGCGTTCTTTGAGTTTCCTCGTTGTATGGCAACGGCTTATTGGTCACATAGGTGCCGGACTGCTTACCCAAGTATTGCCGTGCTAAGGCATTATGGAATAGATTCAGTGTCAGGGGAGCCGTGTGCAGGGGCTTATTATTCAGCCAGATAGTGGTGTTACCACTCCCCGTTGATAGTCCCGCTACAAAGGCATAGTCCAAGCGGTGATTCCATTCCTCGTCCCGACCCAATATGTAATCCTCAATGCTTTGATCGCCTGTTGCCAGCAAATGACTGCGTTTCCCATAACGTTCCATATTTCTGGTATAGGCCATGGCCATGGGACTCAATCGATCGTTTGTCGAGATATCCTCCAAGACCACATAACTCGATTTATACTGGAGTGGTGATATCTCCATTTCCGGCAGTACTTTTAAAATGCGAATGCCTAGAGCGTGGAATGTGGTCAACAACAGTATGATCACAGGGACCATGAACATTATCAGCGTTAGCCAGTAATTACGAATAGTTATCATTATTTTTTTGAACATCAAAGCCTGAAAGCACATACAGCAACGAATCAAAAATCGATTCTCGCGCGTTTTGTTGTCAAACACAAGGGTCTGAAAGTCAGGGGTCGCATTTTTCTTCTCCTCACCTCCCTTGTTCCGCTTATCGTTTGTGACCTCCATGAATACGTCCTCCAAGGTGGCCACACTCAGGCCATAGCCACTTAATTTTAAATCGACATAATTCCTATCGAGATCAGCCAGTAAGTCAGAGAACTTTTTGGACTCAGTGTGGGGCAATCGATAGGTCAGTTCGGTGCCCATTTCCCTTTCCGGTTTCAGATACGGCAAATGGCGATTTATCAACTCAGTTACGGCGTCTACATTGCAGTCTTTCTGCATGATGCACACCAACTGGTAGCCCGTTCCATATCGCTTCTTCAGGTAGAAGGAGGTGCCATGGCACTGCAGTTTGCCCTCGGACAGGATGGCTATGCGATCGCCCAGGACATCGGCCTCGTCCATGTAGTGGGTGGTGAGGAGCACCGTCCTACCCTGCTTCTCCGACTGCAGCAGCTCCCAGAGGCTCTTTCGTCCGGCGGCATCGATGCCGGAACTCGGCTCATCGCAGAGCACAACCCGGGCACTGCCGCACATGGCACAGCAGAGGGATAGCTTCCGCTTCATGCCGCCGGAAAGATTCTCGGCAGCCACCTTGGACTTGGCCTGCAGGCCCAGAACCTCCACGTACTTCTTAACTTCTCTGTTAACAGCCTCGGATCCACGGACTCCCTTCAGTTTGCTAAAGAACACTATGTGGTCCCGGACACTCATCTTCATGAAGAGTATATTGTGCTGCGGACAGATTCCCAGCGACTGGCGGGCCATGTCCAACTGGGTTCTAATGTCATAGCCATTGATCAAGGCCGTTCCTGCTGTGGGTGCTATTATGCCTGTGAGCATATGCAAGGTGGTGGTCTTTCCAGCGCCATTGTGTCCGAGTAATACTGTGATTTCATCCCGATACATCTTCAAGTTCAGACCCTTGACAGCCTTAAATTTCCCAAAGGTTTTCTGTAAGTTTTTCAATTCGACGCCCACCTTGCGGTTTCTTGTGCCAGCCCCATTTGTCTTCTTTGGCGGATCTGTGGTCTGAGATTCACACCAAAACTGTCGTTTGAGACAGAAGTTCCACTTTCGAGCGATGCCATAATTTCCTGGAAATACCTGTTCCACGTACAAACAAATGCTCAGGTAGATAAGCGCCGACATAGTGAGCGTAAGGATTACGTAGAACAAGGTGATGTCATCGTCCTCATTGACCGTGTCGAACATGCTGATCCAAGTGGCTCCCATTCCAGTACCCTCAAGGTTCATTATAATGTGAAGGCCGAGGCCCAAAGCCGTGTTCGAAAAGATCATAGATATTGACAGTTTCCCTGCGAGACTGATGCTATCGTAGTAGTTATTGATAAACGAGAATGGAATAAAGGTGAGATACCACAAAATACAGGTAACCACAGACGCCGTACTGGCTTTGGAGAAGAATACGGCCAGCATGAAACAGAAACATATGCTGGCAATGACATAGGTGTGCAGGAACACCAAAATCGGTAGCCACTCGGAATACCTGAAGATGGCGGTGGAGTGAATGAACTTTACCTTGAACACGATCACGTAGAGCACCACGACCACCATCAGCATCAGGTAGCTCTTCAGGAACCAGGCGATCCAGTGCAGCCAGTTCGCCACACCTATCATCTTCATGATCTCCTTCAGCTGCAGCTCCTTCTCGATGGCCACACTCCTGGTCACCACCGCACAGGGGTACATAAAGCTCAAGAGAATCAGCAAGGCCAGCAGCTCACGCAGTGTCCCCATCAGCGAATCGTCCTGGTAGGCTCTAAATGGAAACCGTTGGAGCTGGACAGATGGAAGCTCCGACACACTCTGTCGCGTGGCCTTGGACAGCCAGGACATGGCGAGGGCGTGCTGGACCGGTAGAAATCCCTCCTGTATATATCCCACCGGAGCGCCGCCATCGTCATCACCTCGGTTGCGTGGCCCCACTTGGTTGATTTTTTCAAATAGATGATTCGTACGCCAGGTGTCTATGATCGAGCTCCTCCGTATTCGCAATTCACCGGGAAATCGCAGGCTATAGGTGAAGTTAAGGGGAAATCCATCCTTAGCTCTACCATCGTTCGGACCAAATTCAACACCGGCCACATAGTTATTCTTCATCAGGTCATTCTCCATTGCTTGGGCACTTGCATAGGGACGCGAACCATTGAGGGACAGCAAAGTGGCGGCTTCTTTTGATATAGCAGCATTTGTCGACGTGTCCGGTGTATAGCAGAGATATGGCTGCATTGTATTGTTAATGAACGACGAATATCGCATTATCGGCGACAAGTCATCTATGGGAACTTGGTTATATCGACTCTCGCTCTTGCTGTGGGGCTTAACCACAACGCGCAGGATAATAAAGAAAAATATAAATATAAAGGGGACGAGGACAGCTGCCACCATCTGGAGTTTTTGACTCTTCTGAAGGACCCAATTTTTCCATAGGAGTATCTTCAGTTTCTGCCAATCTCCTAAGGGATAGACCTCACCGTCCAAGGATCTTCTGTCAGAGCTCATGTTTTTTGTGCAATTGTTTTGTATGCTGTGGTTTTTTAAAAACTTGACTTAAATTGCAAGGATAGTAAGGGTTTAGAGATAAAATATGTAAGGCTAATAAATTGTGGAGTACAGTTTTATAAATAGAAAATTGAATAAAATAAAATTGATATTTGATATTAAAAATCAAAAAGATAAGTTTAGAAATAATATAATCATTTTGCCACACAAACTTCTTTGTTTTATCGACCTGGTTTTCTTCGTTACCTATTTTTTGTTGATACCAAAATTCAATTGAGAGTTCTGTGCGAGAATCTTATATAATGCATTTGTGTATTTTCTTCAGTGATTAATGACTTTATCCGATCTTGAGCAGGCTCATAAGTAATCGAAATACCTTTCGTTCCGTTGCAGTCTACGCCACCTGCCACAACAGCACTACCAGCGGCAACTGGACGGACTGCAGCAGGAGCTGTGGCCTTGGCACTGCCACGAGGCACACCTCCACGCACGCAGGATGCCATCAACTGAGCAATTTGCGGCTCTGCGAGAATCGCAGGTGCGACAAGGATGACTTTGTGGACAATAAAAGGAGCGGAAGCGGAAGCAGCAGCCATAGTAGAAATTGGAGCCACCACCCATTAACGCCTAACCGAAAGATTCACCACTCTAAGACCAACTCCCACTCCCACTCCCATCATCATCATCATCATCCTCATCATCATCAAACGCAGCCTGCCCACAGGATACGAGTGAGTATCCTTATTCCACTTATGGGGGTTAAATAATAAGTACAGGGAAAAATGTGATACACCATTATTATTATTATAAATTGTTAGCATATACATAAAACGATATTTATACATATATTTGTACTAAAACTCGAAGCATAAAAAATTAAAAACTAAGCAAAAAGAAGCTTTAATTTTAATTTAAAAAGCACTTCCGTTTTAGTTTTTGAAATCTGCATACTCAGTTTTAAAAAATAAAAAAAATGCAATAATAATATTTCTAGTTCCATGTATAAATTATTGCTTAAAAATGTAAACAATATATGTATATTGCTCTCACTAATTCAGACATTTTCTTTGCATTTCCCATCCCAAATTATCCGGCGTAGAAGGGCCACGAGTGCCGCAGCATCCAGCGCCTGGGTCCGGCAAGGATCCGGCTGGGCGAGTGCATATCCCGTAAGCTGTATCGACCGAAGCTCTGCGGGCGCTGCCATCGCGGGGTCAAGTGCTGTGCCCCGGCGGTCTCCACCACGATACAGGTAAGCATCAGAAAGGGGATTCACCACACATATATCCCTGAGCCACCTGCCAAATGGCAAATGGGGCTAAGACGGTCTAAGACGGTGAAGTCCGTCGCCTAAAGAGGAGATGAAAAAAATGTCCGCGGATTGAGTTTCCCTTTTTTTTCTTGCCATTTCCATTGCTCTTTTGCAGCGGCAGGAATGCAAATTGCCAGCATCCTTGCTTGTTTGTTTGCTATTTGTCTGTTGCAATTAAATTACCGTTAATTTGAATGCAATCCCATCGAAAGGCATTAAAAGGCGCCGCCTTTGTGCTGCAGCAATAGGTTCAAATGCCATTGATACCCTGGAAATATCGAAAGTGTACAGTGGGAAAGGGATCAGAAATAATAAAAAATTCTTTATTAAGGCTTCTTTATGAATATCTAAATCTAACAAATTATTAAATATAGTTCTTGAATAGCCATTTAATAAGATAAAAATATAATGCAAAGCAATGAATTAATTTAAATATCTCCCCCACAAGCTAATATTTTTTTCTATATGTAATATTCTAGCAAAATCAACTTTTATTGTGCATTCTTTATTATTTGCAAATTTACTCTGTGACTGACCGCTATTTAAATATTCCAAATTATATAATTGACAAGGCCAAAAAACAAATGTTATTTAAAATTAAAATAATTGACGGGATATGCCCATACCGGCAATACCCCGAAGGCAACTGAACATCCCAATGGCGTTTTAGCTTAGTTTATTGGCTCTTGCCTTCTGCCTTTTAGTTTTAATTAAAAAGCAAATTGCATTAAAACGTCAATTTGCAGAGAGAGAAACAGCAATGCCCAAATGGTAGCAAAATTAAAAGTCAAATGTTGGCCAGATGTCAAAATCAATTAAACACCTCCTGTCCTCCCAATTGAATTTCTTCCAAGGAAAAAGAAATCCCCTCTCGGCTGAGATTTTAACTCCTTACATCTTCAGTCTCTTTACAATCATTCTTTTTTTTTCCTACCATTTTTTTCTCAATTTTTCCCCATTTTTTGCCGCTTCAGGTCGAGCTGTTGTGTCCCTTAAATGCTGTCGATCCAATTAACTACGTACAACAGCGGGAAAAGGCCAGAAAAAGGCAACTGAAGGAGCAGCAGAGATCCAAGGATGAGGATGACTACTACAATGATGGGGAGGAGGGAGTGGAGGAGGCGCAGGCGGAGGCGGAGCAGGAGCAGGAGGATTTGCCGGAGAATGCACAGTTATGGGATACGGTCGCCTTGGAGCCAATCGATCAGGAATTCCTGCAATCACATCAGATACAAATCGAGAATAAATTCATTGCCGTCGAATGGATACTGAAATGTGAATGCAGCAGAAATGTGAGTAGCCTGCCGGGTTTTTGGGTAGGGGGTAGTCCTTGTTTCTTGGCTTTTGTCCTTGCAGCAGCATCGGTCCCTTAAACGTTGTCATATTACACTGGCCTACCGTATTCACATGCCATTTCAGGCAATCATTCGGTCGTGTCCTTTACCTCACAATCATTTTCTCCTCAGGATTTTCCAGATTTTTCCCCCTCTCATAGCCACCTCGTAGCAGATGCACGAAAATTGCTTTCACTTGTCATTTTAATCGCATCTTTTGTTGTTGTAAATGTGCTGAAGAGGAAGAGATACCCATCACTTGGGAACAGAGGCTATGGGTATGATGGGTTTTTCAGTAGCTTGTTGAACATTTTTAGAAAGGGGAAAAGTTCAGTTTGGAACTATGAATAGCTTATATATTAGTAAATTTGGTTGTATGCCAATATATTTAATTGTTAATGAAATCTATAGCAATTTCTAAAACTAAGTACCAACTAGTCCATTCTTCTACCACTTTTAACATTCCTTCAATTCTAGTTATTTCCTCCCCCCCAGTCTATGCACAAATGTGTTTTTGTTTTCCGAAAAAAACGAAAGAAAAAATTATTGCTGCAATTTTTTTGTTGCAAAATGTTTTGTGTGTGAATAAATGGCGAATGGGTGGAGGCATGGCATTCCCTGTTAGATTCGGCTGCTGCGCCCAGCTGTCTGTTGTATTTTTCCCATTATTTTGGCGAATTCATCTTGAATGCCTCTGCCTTCGCTGTGCAATTGCAATGATTGGATTTTTATGAATACATTCATCAAAGGAGCGTTTGGCTGTGCCACTGCGCCACCGGCAAAGTCGAATGAAAACATTTTGTACTCGGTTTATGTCTATGTGTGTGTGTGGGGCCCAAAGTGATACCTTTTGTTTTGGTTTGTGTCCTTTATCAGGACTCTGAATGGTTTTTCCCAAATGGAGTTTGCTACAATGACAGTCGATTGCCGAAGAGTGTTCCACCGTTGTAACTGAAATTTTATGGCCTAAATGGGTCTAACCGATCGAGCATTTTTGGTATTGTTTCACTTTGATTTAATAGACAAAAATTATGATTTCTGAATGAAGATTACATTCAGAGTGTGCTTCCGGTCCAGAATCAGCGAAATAGTATGCTATGTATTGACACTTCCGCCTATTGCTTATCAATTCAGCCCAAAAGATGCACCATTATATGACTTGACACTACCAGCCATTTTCAGCCACTCTTGCGGTTTCAATTGCATACTTTCGCGGTGCCTCAACCATTTGAACAGTGTTCATTTCTAGCAGACTGTTTTTCGCAACAAAGGTGATAATGAACTGAATTTAGAGGGTGGTGATGCTGATCAAGAATAAATATGGTTTATAGGGTCAAAATTGATTCCTCCACTGATTTGCCGCTGACTATGATTAGAATGCGCAATCTTTTCTAATTATATTCCCTTATTTAAAAACCAAGAAAAATAGGTATTTAATATTTTAAAAGCTATTTATTAAAGTAATTTAACAGTTTTATAATTTTAATCATATTTTATTTCTTATACACGTTGGGTATTTCATATTTATTCTGCATTTATGCTGAATAAACAACACAATTCAAGAGTACGAGGTTTTTTAGGCCATGTGTTAAGAGAGAATAAGCTATAATAAGTGAAAGTTCCGCTCTCTTTTCTTCACCAGTTTAAAAGTGGTACTCTCTGCGTATGAACTGTTTCTCTTTACGAGCTGATAATAATTGCTGATAGTGAAAAGAGTGCTGCTTTATTCTCTGCTTAACTGCATTGACATAATACCTGCAAAGCAAATAAAATATTGCCAAAATCAACAATGTGTTATCAGAAAGTTGGATCTTATCGGGGAGAACCATAAACATTGAGGAATAGAGCGATAAACTACTATAGAGAAAGAAAAATATATATAGAGAGAGAGAGAGAGAAATGTTCAAGACCATGACAACTATGAACAACAGAAACTCATATTAGTTGACTCGCAAACACTGATGGTGAAAGACGACGGGCGGTCTGTCCATTATACAACAAAAACTAAGTAGTTTTAACAAAAAATTACAATTATTATGAGTGCCTCATCTTTACGCCTGCTTAGTAAAACCAAACAAAATGCTCGCATTGTGATAATTGGAGCAGGATCCGCTGGCATTGCAGCTGGCACACGACTCTTGGAACAGGGTTTCAAGAATGTCCTGCTGCTGGAGGCTGAGGATCGCATTGGTGGCCGTATTCACACCATACCCTTTGCGGATAATGTCGTCGATCTGGGCGGTCAGTGGTGTCACGGCGAGAAGGATAACATAGTCTACGAGACTGTCAAGAATTTGGATCTCCTCGAGGCCACGGAAGATCACTACGAGACCTTTAAGTGCGTGCGATCCAACAAGGATGTGCTACCCGACGAAATAGCGGATCAGCTGAAAACTATAGCCTTTAAGTCCATACCGGACAGGCAAACGGAGCTGTTGGACTTCAACGGCACCCTAGGTGATTATTGTAACCAGAAATTCTGGAAGGAATTGGCCAAGCTTCCGCCCATCGATCTCACCATTGCCAAGGAGTTTCTGGAGATATTTCACAAATTCGAGGCCTCCGTGGAGGCGGCAGATCACCTGTACGAGGTGTCCGCGAAAGGTCACCTGGATTATTGGCTGTGCGAGGGAGAACTGCTGCTCAACTGGCGGGATAAAGGCTACAAGAGCTTCCTGCGACTGCTCATGAAGGCTCGACAGGATCAGCAGAGGGATCAACCCGAGGATCTGGGAGTCCTCAATGGGCGCGTGATGCTCAATAGAAGAGTTTCCCAAATGAATTGGTCAGGGGAAGATGAGGTAATCATAAGCTGCTGCAATGGGGAGATCATCACGGCAGATCATGTGATTTGCACTGTCTCCCTGGGAGTTCTCAAAGCGGAGCATAAGGAGCTCTTTGTGCCAGGACTTCCCTTGGCCAAAGTTCGAGCCATAGAAGGACTCAAACTCGGCACCGTGGACAAGTTCTTCCTGGAGTTTGAGCATCCACCCCTGCCTAGTGACTGGCCTGCGTTCAACTGCCTCTGGCTGAAGGAGGATTTGGCTGAACTGCGCGCCTCCGAACTCTTTTGGCTGGAGAGTGTCTTTGGCTTCTATCCCGTATCCAAGCAGCCAAGGATTCTGCAGGGTTGGATAATCGGTCCACATGCCAGGCACATGGAGACGCTTACGGAGGAGAAGGTGCTGGAGGGTTTGCTCTGGCTCTTCCGCAAGTTCTTGCCCTTCGAGATGCCGCATCCCAAGCGGATGTTGCGGACTCAATGGAACGCGAATCAAAGCTTCCGGGGCAGCTACACCTTCCGTTCCACGTACACGGATGAACTGCACACGGGAGCCTGGGACCTGGAGGCCCCACTGCAGGATGTGGGCGGCAGGCCGAGACTCCAGTTCGCCGGAGAGTCCTCTCACAAGCACTATTATTCCACAGTTCACGGTGCCGTTGAGACGGGTTTCCGTGAGGCGGATCGACTGAACACCTACTATAGGTCACGGACAGCTCAACTTTGAGCATAGGAGCCTTGGTTGGTCATCCTAAGGAAGAGTTATCCTAGAGAGAAGCTTTATAACTGAGCAAAACGAAGCATTAAAATCTTGAGAAAGAAAAGATTAGCTTGAGTAAAAAATTAAAAGTAAAATCAATTTAAAACGCTTTTAAAATTAATTGTAATTACTCGCCAATTTTGTTCACAATATTTCAAGCTTTTTAAGTTGTGTTAATCGTACATATTAAAGAAACATAGTTAATTCAATAAATTGGCCTTTGAAATTATCAAACTAGTATCAAACTAGTATACCTTACGAAGTTAAAGTTTTAATGTTTTAGTTAGTTGACTTTATTGGTTTTAGTTAGATAACTAATCAGCGGTAAGAGCGTGGGGGGGTCAATATTCTTAGAATAATTTTTATAATCTTATCATTAATTTCACATGTTTCTTTTACTACCCATCGTTGAGTTTATTTATGTCCAAGATTAGATATAAGCATAAGATCGTATTTGCCTAAAATACGAATTTTTTAAATATTTTTTCGATGAATTTTTTCCACTCCCAAGTACCCTTTAAATATCTCAATAAACTTTTATATCGTAAAAGGAAACCAACTTTAGCTGGCAATGAAAAATCAATTTTATGCTTTCCCTAACAAGTTTGTGTATATTTTATAGCCAATTTTAATGTCTTTACCCAGACACAACATATCAGTTTTACGATTCATTCATTATTTTTGCTGGGTATTATAATTAAAGTCAGAAGCTTAATTTAATAATAATTTAAGAGCTCAGTACGCAGATTTGTTAATCTCTCAAAAACTAGCACAGAAATGATTTCCGAATCGAAATGAATGCATTTTTGGCTTAGTTATGATATTTGGAACATTTTGATTTACTAAGAAAATTATCATATAAAAGTATGCATTTTTGGCTTATGATCGATTCCACATTCAAATGATCATATGATCATATTGCGAACTGCTTCTTCGGCTTCTTGAAGTAAGCTTCGTTTTTAGAGTGACTGATCTACAGTAAAGCCTCCCCCATTGTAAGCAAATACAGACCTTTAAATTTCAAGCCATGCAGTTGCTAAAAAAAATGTATATACAGTAGGCTAAGCCAAATAAAAGCCAAACATGTTGACCAACTCATTTGCAGCGAGCCGGGCAAACAACATTGTAATTGCGCCTGTTTTTCGGGCCAACATTTTCAACAAACACACTCGAATTCGGAAAAAAGGGCACGAACTGGGAGGGGGCGTGGTCAGTGAGGTCTCACACATGCAAAAGTTTGCAGATTACGTGCGGAACAGATATATAGACGGAGGGGCAGAAATCAGTTTAGCACATTGCGACTATCTCTGGTGCTGCGAAAAACGCAGGCCAGGCCAAAGGCCAACCAGACCAAGGATGGCCACAAAAACCACAACGGGACAACAGGAGGAGGAGCAGCAGGAGCACTAGGAACCGGAGCTGGGGATCATTGGAGGAAGCACTGGCCATGTGATTCCCCTGCAAAATGGTCTCTCTCTCCCTCTCCTATCCAACAATTGCCGGGGCGGCGGTACAGAGAAGCACTTTGCCTGGCCATGTTGAAAATTCAAATTTATGCCAAGCCGGGGCCAGAACATTCAAAATTTCCTTTTGCTCCGATGTGAGCTCCTGTTTTATCCTTCTGGTGCACTCCTATGCACTGCGACAAGAGTTCTGTAAAGTCTGAAAAATGTTTTCCTAATGGAATTCCTTTTAAGTATTGGAATTTATATAAATAATTTAAGATACAATCTGAAGGCCTTTATTAAGCTGTCTTTATAATAAAACTAAGGTCCCTTCAAACTTTATAGTCTTATCAAGGGAAAATCATAAAAACTTTAAAGTTATCCTTAGAATTATCCCAAAATTTTCTGATTTATTTATATAGATTTAATCAGTATTTTTAATATATTAGAATATGTGATTTGTTCTTTGTGCTCTAAGTCCTGAAATTATAGTATAGTTTAGTTTATAGTTTACCATCTAGTTTTCCCTTCAGTGTTTTCTGCCTGCCTTTGTGTGTGTTGCATTTGTTTGTTTGTTTGCATGTCGCCCTGGTGGTCGTAGTCGTATCTACTCCTAGTTCATCTGCTCCTAGCTCATCCTTCTCATCCTCGACCATCAGCTCCCAATTACATATGCGACTTTGTCGCCCTTCCAGCTGAAGGCGGACTGGTACCGACTACAAGTTGGTCACATCTGTTGTAGCTTTGCAGCTGAACGTGTCCACATACCAGTGTCCCCATATCCCTATACCAATCCCTTAACCAATCCCCTTACCAATCCCCTTACCAATCCCCTTACCAATCCCTTGGTTAATGCGCTGCAGGAGCGACAGTCGTTGGCATTGGTGTCTAGCCAGCCGGAAATGTGGTTTTTTTGTGCCCCCAATGCATGTGGGAAAAATTTTGTTTAATAAAATAATACAAACTTAATAAGGTAAATAAATAAATGTGATGGTAAATGTTCGATTTTAGGGCTTTTACATGGGTTAATATATTGATAAACTTTGAAATGTGTTTTCCAGTAATAAATAATTTTATAATAAATTCATATAACGATTTCTTTCCAATTTAGTTATTTTCCAATTCAGCAACAGAGTATAATCTAGTAAATTCTTAAATTTTAGTTCATTGATCAAATTTTTTGAGTAAATCAAAGTTTTCCAAATATCATAACTAAGCCAAAAATGCATTTATTTAAATAAGGACAGCTTTTAAATGCTAGTTTTTAAAAGGGTAACAAATCTGCATACTCATACAGACATTTAAAAAATTTAATTTTTGGTCAAATTGTAACAATTTTAACGATGTAACCCTTTATCATTATTTCAAATTTTTGATAAATTTATTTTTCTACGGGACATTGCTAGATGAATTCAGCTCTTTATTCTGATCAAGAATATATATGTTTTATAAGGTCGGAAATGATTCCTTCACTGATTTGCAAGCTGCTGACTGAAACTAGAATACCCAAAATGGGCATGTTTTATAATTATATATTTATAATTATTTTAACCTTAAACTCTTCTTCATTTGCATATTCATATAATTTTAAGATTCCGAGCCAGACTTTATTAAACATTCCCCTCAGTGCAGCCATTCTCATCCACGTGCTCGTGTGACTCCTCGAGTGACAATGTTAAACAAGTCTCTGTTTGACCAAAGGACACACACATTTGCCTAGCCAATGTCCTGTCCTGTCCTATTCCTGTTCGTGTTCCTGTTCCTGTCCCGTCTTTGCCAGGACTTATGTTATGGCCCAGGTAATGGTTGTTATGACTGGCAAAGTATTTCTCTGTGTTTGCTGATTGCACGGCATGGAAATCGTGGCGGGGATCGGGGTATCCTGGCTGGATGCTGAGTGGCTGACAGTTGGAGTCGGCACTCCTGCTGACATGGCCCAAAGGTGGAGGTGGAGTATTCGGCTTAATTGTACAACTAACTCACTGGCACCGGGATTAAATGGGTTTAGTTAAGGGGATTCCTTTATGCAAAGGCACGATGGCAGCCTTCGCCTTTTGAGTGCATTAAATTCCGTGAAATTGTAGTTCTGTATTCTCAGGTGTTTTATTTACTTGGGGATTTTGAAAGTGGGTGCTAAATTGGTTAGTTATAGCAAAAGGGAAATTGTTTGTTGGTGCTTAGAAAATGTTAGCTAGGTTAATATATTATTTAATGGCATTCTTTAGATAAATATTCAAAATGGTTGAAGTTCCGCGAGTTAATTTTCAGCTTTGGCTTTGTAGAAATCTATAAGGCGATCGGCCTCTCGCCATCCCGACTCAGTGGCTCCATGGACCGTGCCCCAGTGATTTCCGCTGGAAGCCTCACCAGCAAACTGCACCCTTGGTCTTCCGTTGGTCACATCCACCAGAGGTGAAGCCAGATCCGTGCGTCCTGTTCTCAGATCATCGGCATATGTGGGATAGAAACTGTAGCTCCCACGAAAGTTCGGATTGGAGTGCCATTGCGTGCGAATAAAGTGCTTCGGTCGGGGCACATCGAAGGTGAGGAATTTGCGGAAAAGCCACAAGAGTCCCTCTAGGACCTTATCCTCGCCAAGGGTCTCCATGTGCCGGGCATGGGCACCAATAATCCAACCCTCCAGGAGAGTGGGTTGCCTGTCCACGCGATGAAAGCTACAGACACTCTCCAGCCAATAGAACTCCGAGCCGCGGAGTTCAAGGAGATCTGCCTCCAACCAGAGTATGGCAACGTTGTACATATTCTCCGGAAACGGATGCTTCTCAAACTCCATTATGAATTTGTTGACAGTGCCCAGCTTGAGTCCCTCAATAGCTCGCACTTTGGCCAAGGGTAAAGCTGGAACAAATAGCTTCTCATGCTTCTCCTTGAGGACACCCAGGGACACAGTGCAGATGACATGATCCGCTGTGACAATCTCTCCATTCCAGCAGCGCAGGGTCAGCTCACCGTTGCCCTTCCAATTGATCTCTGCGATTCTCCTATTGAGGTGCACATAACCCTTGAGGCAACCCTGATCCCCCGGCTGATCCTCCTTGGCCTCGAGCAGGAGACTCAGGAAGTACCAGAAGCCCCTGCGCCGCCAGCTGAGATTTTGATCGCCGTCAGCGAGGTGAAAATTCGTATAGTTCCTGGACGAAAGCTCAAAAAGATGATCACAAGCATCCGAGGTGCAGATGTACTTCATCATAGAGCTTAGTGCTTCCTTGGCAATGGTTCGGTCCAGATCCTTGCCCACCGTGTTCCAGTAGTTATTTGTAAATCTATCGCCCACAGATCCCTCCCAATCGACGCTCACATCGAAGGCATCCACAAATTCCTTGAGGGGTTTGGTCTGTTCCTCGGATAAAATCTCCTTATTAGAGCGCACCAAGTGTAAGGCCTGATCGGCTGTCCTGTCCAGCACATCCAGATCCTTAACGCGCTCAAAGACCACATTACCCTGCTCTCCATGACACCACTGGGCACCCAGATCGATGAAGCTATCCGCAAAGGGTACTGTCTTAATCCTGCCACCAATGCGATCCTCCGCCTCGAAGATTTGGACATTGCGGAATCCTTGCTCGAGGAGTTTAGTGGCAGCTGCAATGCCTGAGGGTCCTGCGCCGACAATTACGATCCTGGTGGTCTCCTTTGTTTTTGGGAAGACATTTCCTACTGCACAGGAAGCCATTATTTAAATATATTTTTTATTTTAAGGAAACTAAAATCTCAACTGCAGAAATGTACATTGTGTTGGTAATCGTGGAACTGCTGCCTTTTATATTGCAAGTTTTTTTGTCATATCAAAGGAGATCTCTTTGTGGTTTATATTAAATGTTTCTGACCTTAATTCTTTGTTTATGTTTTACCATAATGCAAACATTTTATCAATCTGAATGTGGGCCAGAGAGACTATGAATTTTAAGCTTTCGATGACCTTGCATTAAAAATACTATAAAAATGCAACATAAGTAATTGCCTTTACTATCTAATTTTCTTGGTTTTTGTTTATATTTTATTTTGCACTCGTTACAAGGTTTTCAAGTGCATCTTGAGGTTCTTGTGGTACCCTTACCTTATCTAGTTGACAAACAAAAAAAAAAAAAAAAAAAACACACTTGAATAAATCGACAGAAACAAATAATCTATAAACTATGGTGATAGCTGGTTATCAAATACAGTAGATATTGCTGAAAAGGTACTAGGAAATAGTATATTTTTGTTATAAGAAAACATGTTTGAGTAATATTTGCCTTACTTAAACTGCACAATACTGGAACAATTTTAATTTGCTTTATATAAATATAATTCAGCGGTTAAATAGTTTTGTAGATAAACTTTGGCCATTAACTATTTTTTTTTTACTAAACATTTAATATTTTATAATTTATATTAAATATTTCCCGTGGGGCCCTTCTAATATCTGTAACTTTTAGCCCATCGCCAAGAATTTAATTAAATATTTGCGAAAACTAAATATTTGTAATGCTCAGTTTTTATTAAAATTTCATACGGTTTCATAATTTTCTTTCTGGCTTACAGAATTGCAACAAGGACAAGGGCAACAACAGCAGCAACAGCAACAGCAACATCAACACCAACGACAACAACATGTCTAACACAAATAAATATGGTTATTACAATTTCGAAAACACTCACAATGGCGGCCGGAACCACGAAAATAATGGCGAACCAAATGAGGCTAAAAACAACGAAGAGAATGTGGCTGCGGCTGTGTCAGACAGCAACGACAAGGATAATAATAACAACAAGAACATGGATAGCGACCGCAATGAGGTGAACAACTCGTCCTCGGAACAACAACCGGATATTATACCATATCCTTTGGGCGTGGGCGAGTCCAGTTGGAAGGCCGAAAAGCTTCGGGAGCAGAAGCACTATCAGCAGGAGCAACATCAACATCGCTGGCAGCCACACACATAGCGCAAAGGCATCAACAACATTGCCCAATAATACAATATTCTGGCTCTGATCTGATCCAGAGGATATCTAGGAAGGCATATATAGACTCTAAGATTTGTACAGCATAGCGATACTTAAGGCCACCCCCATTGGTTCCCATGGATGGTTGAGATTGTAAAGGAAACAAATAAGCGTTGGTTTAGGATTTGAACATATCGAGGCAGTAAGTTTTAGATATGTGAACGATATAATAGGGTTAGGATTAAACCAAGGGCGTAAGGAACAAAAAGAAAAACTGCGAGTGGAACACAAGCCGAATATTACAAATATTTTTGCAAGCATCTATACACAACAAAACGCGAAAAAAACGTAAATAAAAAATTTAAAAATAAACAAGCAAATTAAAGAATTTTCAGAAAAACATTTGAATGAAAAATGCTGCCCAATAATAACGTAATAATATGGTAAAAATAAAACTGGCCGATTAAATTAGAGCTTCGGAAATATAATGGAATGGAAGTGTAATGTCTTTGAAGGTTTTGCCTGGCTGAATAAGGATGTGTTTTTTTTAGACATTTCACATTTAATTTTAGTTATTTATTCTAAGAGACTACAATTATTTGAAGCAGAAATGTGGTGCACAACGTCACTAGCAAATAAATCAAATATCTGTATTATATATTTCTTTAAATTGAAAGTAAATATTTTAAATTTTTTAGCCAAATCCTTTATCAGCATAGCGAAAACACACCAATAACATATACTTCCATTGCAATATATTTTTGACATTGGCTAGCTAAATTTAAAACTAACTTAGATGTAAACCGGCTTAAAAAAACAATGCAAAAAAGAGCAAATGCTAAAAATTCGTGTGCATTCAAGTTATAACTGTGCTATATACTCACTTGTATTCAGATAGGACTCTGCTTGAGGACTTAAGCTAAGCTTGCTAAAGAATTTAGCTGGCATAACAAGGCCAGGATGCCGTAAAAATAGTTTCGTTGAACCAAACCACAAACAAACCCAGACATATCCCCCTAAAAAATATCCCGAACAAGTTCTTTGATTTTAGGCCATGTAACGAGCGAAGCTTAACCACCACCCATATCAATTGTATATCGATGTAAGTCAACTCTTAGCTAGCGTCAGAGTTATTCGTGTGAGCACACGAAATTCAAGTAAATAAAATGCGAATATATAAGAGAAACTCCAGTGTTCAGTTTGTTTTTTAAAAAGAGGAGAGAGAAAATTGGGAAAATCAAAGAACTATGATTATAAGTATTTAATTAAGGTAACGTATATTTTTATCTTGTAGAAACAGAGTTGATGGAAAATGCGGTTTTACGTAAGCCAAAGCCAGACTGGTTTGTTGTAAGACAAATCACGTTAGTGACTGTCATTTCTCTATAAAAAGATTTCCATTCCTAACTGGCCAACACAGTTTCATTGAGAATTTGGTTGGATTTCGTGTGTGTGATTTACACAATTTATTTACCCCGTAAAATTGTGTCACTCGGCATCGCCGGATGTGTCAATAGGCCGCACATTTGTTAGCGCCTCTGACACTCATCCACTTCAACCCCACAAAATGGCGGCCAACGCATTTCCGCTTTAACACACTAAAAAGCCGCGAACCCGCGCCAACTACACACGCACATTCTGACGCATATTCGGGCGGCTTTTATTAGTAATTTATGGGCCTCGTTGGATCTCGTTTCGCTAACGTGGTCCGTTCTTTGGTTCGCTTCAGTTTGGTTTTTTATGCATCCGCGCGCGCTCTCAACACCACATTAAATGTGCACGACATCAAATTGATGAGGCTGCCAAGGTTTCTGGTCAGATATATGACAACAGTGTTGAGCGATTAGCTATTTTCCGGTCGGAAATGACTCCTTCACTTTCTTTCAAGTTTCCGACTGGAGGTGCAAAACCATTTTTTAATGGAAATTTACTATATTTTTACATGTAATTTTTTCGATAAATCAGATTTTTGCAAATTTTAATGTTGTAACCCCTTTCCTTTTTTTCAAATAATGGGAAATTTCTGAAAAAATTTTATTTTGCCCGGTGAAAGCTAGAATGATTCGCCTGTTGATACTGATCAAGAATATTTATGATTTATAGGGTCGAAAATGACTCCGTCACTGCCTTACAAGCTTTTGACTTAAGTCATATTCTTCAAAAAGGTATAAAAACAGACCATTTTTTCAAAAAAAAGCAAAGTTTTTCCGACATCATAATTAATCCGAAATTGGATTAATTTTAATTCGGAAAGCTGTTCTGTGCTAGTTTTTATTGCACTAACAAATCTGCATACTGCGTTTGTTGATGCTGTTGTCAGTTTTTGATTAAAATCATAAAAACCAGCAAAAAGGTATAAAAACAGACAATTTTTCCCAAAATCATAGTTTCAAAAAACTCATAACTAAGCCAAAAAATCATTAATTTGAATTCGGAAAGCTGTTCTATGCAAGTTTTTAGTAGATTAACAAAGCTGCATACTCAGTTTTCAAATTTAAAAAATTCAATTTTATGTCAAATTTTGGCCATTTTCATGATGTAACCCCTTATAAAATTTTAAATTTTCGGAAAAATGTAAAAAATTTATTTTTTGACCGGACATGGCCAGAACGACTGGGCTGTTGATGCTGATCAAGAATATATATGATTTATAGGGTCGGAAATGACTCCTTCACTTTCTTTCAAGCTTCTGACTTAAGTCATATTCTTCAAAAAGGTATAAAAACACACAATTTTTTAAAAAAGTCTAAGGTTTTCGGACATCATATTTACGCCGAAATTGGATTAATTTTAATTCGGAAAGCTGTTCTGTGCTTGTTTTTATTGCACTAACAAATCTGCATACTGCGTTTGTTGATGCTGTTGTCAGTTTTTGATTAAAATCATAAAAACCAGCAAAAAGGTATAAAAACAGACAATTTTTCGCAAAAACCATAGTTTAAAAAAACTCATAACTAAGCCAAAAAATCATTAATTTGAATTCGGGAAGCTGTTCTATGCAAGTTTTTAGTAGATTAACAAAGCTGCATACTCAGTTTTTAAATTTAAAAAATTCAATTTTTTGTCAAATTTTGGCCATTTTCATGATGTAACCCCTTATAAAATTTTCAATTTTCGGAAAAATGTCAAAAATTTATTTTTTGACCGGACATGGCCAGAACGACTGGGCTGTTGATGCTGATCAAGAATATATATGATTTATAGGGTCAGAAATGACTCCTTCACTTTCTTTCAAGCTTCTGACTTAAGTCATATTCTTCAAAAAGGTATAAAAACACACCATTTTTTAAAAAAGTCTAAGTTTTTCGGACATCATAATGAAGCCGAAATTGGATTAATTTTAATTCGGAAAGCTGTTCTGTGCTTGTTTTTATTGCACTAACAAATCTGCATACTGCGTTTGTAGATGCTGTTGTCAGTTTTTGACTAAAATCATAAAAACCAGCAAAAAGGTATAAAAACAGACAATTTTTCCCAAAAATCATAGTTTCAAAAAACTCATAACTAAGCCAAAAAATCATTAATTTGAATTCGGAAAGCTGTTCTATGCAAGTTTTTAGTAGATTAACAAAGCTGCATACTCAGTTTTCAAATTTAAAAAATTCAATTTTTTGTCAAATTTTGGCCATTTTCATGATGTAACCCCTTATAAAATTTTAAATTTTCGGAAAAATGTAAAAAATTTATTTTTTGACCGGACATGGCCAGAACGACTGGGCTGTTGATGCTGATCAAGAATATATATGATTTATAGGGTCAGAAATGACTCCTTCACTTTCTTTCAAGCTTCTGACTTAAGTCATATTCTTCAAAAAGGTATAAAAACACACCATTTTTTAAAAAAGTCTAAGTTTTTCGGACAACATAATGAAGCCGAAATTGGATTAATTTTAATTCGGAAAGCTGTTCTGTGCTAGTTTTTATTGCACTAACAAATCTGCATACTGCGTTTGTTGATGCTGTTGTCAGTTTTTGATTAAAATCATAAAAACCAGCAAAAAGGTATAAAAACAGACAATTTTTCCCAAAAATCATAGTTTCAAAAAACTCATAACTAAGCCAAAAAATCATTAATTTGAATTCGGAAAGCTGTTCTATGCAAGTTTTTAGTAGATTAACAAAGCTGCATACTTAGTTTTTAAATTTAAAAAATTCAATTTTATGTCAAATTTGGCCATTTTCATGATGTAACCCCTTATAAAATTTTCAATTTTCGGAAAAATGTAAAAAATTTATTTTTTGACCGGACATGACCAGAACGACTGGGCTGTTGATGCTGATTAAGAATATATATGATTTATAGGGTCGGAAATGACTCCTTCACTTTCTTTCAAGCTTCTGACTTAAGTCATATTCTTCAAAAAGGTATAAAAACACACAATTTTTTAAAAAAGTCTAAGTTTTTCGGACATCATAATTAATCCGAAATTGAATTAATATTTATTTTTATTGCACTAATAAATTTGCATACTGCGTTTGTTGATGCTGTTGTCAGTTTTTGATTAAAATCATAAAAACCAGCAAAAAGGTATAAAAACAGACAATTTTTCCCAAAAATCATAGTTTAAAAAAAGTCATAACTAAGCCAAAAAATCATTAAATTGAATTCGGAAAGCTGTTCTATGCAAGTTTTAAGTAGATTAACAAAGCTGCATACTCAGTTTTCAAATTTAAAAAATTCAATTTTATGTCAAATTTTGGCCATTTTCATGATGTAACCCCTTATAAAATTTTCAATTTTCGGAAAAATGTAAAAAATTTATTTTTTGACCGGACATGGCCAGAACGACTGGGCTGTTGATGCTGATCAAGAATATATATGATTTATAGGGTCGGAAATGACTCCTTCACTTTCTTTCAAGCTTCTGACTTAAGTCATATTCTTCAAAAAGGTATAAAAACACACAATTTTTTAAAAAAGTCTAAGGTTTTCGGACATCATATTTACGCCGAAATTGGATTAATTTTAATTCGGAAAGCTGTTCTGTGCTTGTTTTTATTGCACTAACAAATCTGCATACTGCGTTTGTAGATGCTGTTGTCAGTTTTTGACTAAAATCATAAAAACCAGCAAAAAGGTATAAAAACAGACAATTTTTCCCAAAAATCATAGTTTCAAAAAACTCATAACTAAGCCAAAAAATCATTAATTTGAATTCGGAAAGCTGTTCTATGCAAGTTTTTAGTAGATTAACAAAGCTGCATACTCAGTTTTCAAATTTAAAAAATTCAATTTTTGTCAAATTTTGGCCATTTTCATGATGTAACCCCTTATAAAATTTTAAATTTTCGGAAAAATGTCAAAAATTTATTTTTTGACCGGACATGGCCAGAACGACTGGGCTGTTGATGCTGATCAAG